ACAGCTGCTGTACTTTATGTCTATATATGCCCAATTTTAATGATGGAGATATTCACGAAGACTAGGAGGCGAGCACAGGAAGAACTGGGATGTTTGATTTGGTCGAAGGCAATTCATGGCGTTCGTTAAAAGGACTCCGACACGATAGTAACGTCCTACTGGAGAAGAATACACCTTCATCTTGCTTTTTGACCGGAGAAACCCCCACTTGTTGAGTACGTTACCGAACGTGTGCTCGACCTCCATGCGTAGCGAAGACATTCTTTCGTTGAATTCCCGCTCCTCTGGTGTTCTCTCTCCTGGACCTGAGAATGGACTAATGAGCACGTCACTGAGTCCATACGCGGGGTCCCCGTATAACCGGTAATATGTGTCCTTCGAGCTGTTGTCCATGCCGTTGCCCGAGCCTGAGGTTATGCTTGGGCATTTTGCATGTTCGGAGCACCAGTCCAACAGTCCACTGTCGCTGAGCAGAAACCCGTCACCTCTTCGACCTTCCAAAGGTCCGTGGAGGTGGCCAATAAGCCCATCTGGGAGGGCGAGAGCTTGGTACTTGAGAGCGTGATACTTCTTGTGACCGTTATATGCCTGCCGTTGATGTTTGCTTGGTCGGCATATGGCACGGATAGTGCAATCGATGAAGGCCCAAATATGGGGAACCACGGAACCGGCGCGCAAAGTTGCATCTGCATAAACTTTGAGACGGTCTTGGGAGAGTAGTGCGTGGTTGTCGAGCCCGAGTAAGTGCCCCCACATGTCATCAAGATGAACAACTAGTTGATTTATTACTTCAGACAGTGCAGCTGCGCTTCGTCAATACTTGATCATAAGATCATGTAAGTCTGCAGCACTGCGAAACCGGGCACAAAGGAGGCAAAAAGCCTCGAGGGCTGAGAATCGATGGCGAGACACCGTGATCACAGTCTCAGGTATTTCTAGCGCGGCCACAAGGTCCAAGAGTTCAGTGGCAGTAAAGCTGTCATGTGTGTCAGTGACTGAAAGTACGATACAGGAAGATGAGGGCAGGTACGCACCGAAATTCTGCAAGACAGTAGTCATCCCCGATGTTTTCCAACCATCTTCGTGTTATACGAATACCAGCTGGACTTGCACGGTGTTGGACATACGCACGTCTATGCTTTGCCCGTCGTGATATGCTGAAATCGGTGGATAACTCGTCCGGTAGCGTGGTCGCGTTGGGACCTAACAAAAGGCTGTTGGGCAGGGGAAGTGGTGGTCTCAGGTATGTCAAAACACTGAGGGCACAAGGGAGAAGGACAGCTAGATCGTGTTTAGGCATGGATGACGGGTGTGCACCAGGATGTCTGTGGAATTGCTGGCAAAGCTCATATTACAAAGTTCACGTAGGATATACTAGCGGGCGGGCCCAAAAGTATTACACCCGGTACATCCGTGTTGGTGGCAAAGCGTGAGAAGGACTACGTCGGCGGTGCAGACATACCATATTTTGGGAAAAAACCAGCTGCAAATCTGGTCTACTCTGCTCTCGCGCTGTACTTTCTTTGGGTGCCGGGCTTCCCCGCTGCGACCGGACACGCTAGTCTAGCGCGTGTCTACGTACTCCTCTTGGGGATTTCGTGGCCATACCAGCAGGACACCCTGTTCGGTGCTGCTACATCGAGTCAGCTTCTCTTCGTCCGACCAAGGCATGTCTCCGCGATCTGACGTATGATATGGCGCGAAGGTGACTCACCCCAGCTCGCACTCCATCCGCAGAGCATACTAGTGGCCGTCGATAATCATATTACACCACCCATGCAGCTGCGGGCCGATGCCCCAGGACGATTGCACCACATCTTCTCCCAGAGCACCGTCCGCCGACAGCTCCACCAATCACGGGCGCGGACGCGACACCAACTGCACTGCTGCGGACCACCGGCCCGTCGTCTGAGCAGCACGAGCTCGCACCATGAGACCGAAACGAGCACCAAAGCCGCGCTGCGCGACCTCCTCCGGCAGACCGCGCAACCCGTCGCCGTGGTCACCGCGCTGCTCCCTCCGCCAACATCCGTTACGAGCTCGCAGCCGCTCTACCACGGCGCGACGCTCTCCTCCTTCACCTCCGTCGCGCTCGACCCCCACCCTCTCGTCGCCTTTTCCCTCCGCGTCCCCAGCCGCATGGCCTCCTCCCTCTCCCACTTCTTCCCCTCCTCCCCTCCTTCCTCTCCCACAACGTCGTCAACGCCAAGGACAGACCTGACTCCGCACCTTGTCATCAATCTCCTCTCCGCCTCGCAGTCCTCCCTCGCACATACCTTCGCCCGCGCCGACCCCGCACACGCGCCCTTCGACGCTCCAGGCGTGCACTACGACCTCACCTCGGACGGCCTACCTGTCCTCCGCGGCGCGCTCGGCGCACTCTCCTGCTCTCTTGTCGGCGCTTCTTGGCCTTTACACGACCTCGCCGCGCTTTCTGTACGTCGCACCCATCAAGAAGGTCAGGAACCTTGGGCCGGCGCCGGCGTCGCGTCCGAGCTATACATCGCGCGCGTGACACGCGTAGAAGAGGTGGTACGCGCGTCCGAGGACGAGCTTCAAGGGGAGCCGATGCCGCTGTTGTACCACCACCGCGGATACTGTACCGTCGGCCCTGGTCCTCATCCTGATCCGGGTCCGAAAAAGGCGTGAAGCCGCGACCTCAAACGCGCTGTCTCGCTCACTCTCCTCGCTCGCCGCAAGGACCGTGCCGCCCGCAGACGAAAGTCGGAGCCGTGTCGCACCGTGTTTACCGACGTCGCCCGTCTCGGCTGCCTTCGACTAGTACATATTCCAGAGCCTTGCTCTCGCGCTCAAGCGCGTCGCATTGAAGGTTAGCGCCTCGATGACCTCGGGCCCCGCGCGCATCAAGGCCGCGATTGCCAGAGCGAAGGGAGTTGACGATCGGGTGCTTCGCCACTCCAACAGCAGCGGAACCCATCTCACGGCCAACTACCTGGCGATGATTCGCCTCAGGACGCTATCTTGGAAATAGGGCCAAAGATTGGGCAAAGATACGAGTACGCCGCAGCGTAGTCTTGAAAACAATATCTGCCTGAACACCCCGTCCAAAACCCGAGTATAAATGTGCATCATGACGTGCAAATTCTAAGTATCATCTTGCTCGTGGCTGCGAAAGCCAACGGGCAGTGCATGAAGAATACGCGATGTGGGCGATGTCTGAATACGCAGCTACATCGCGCTACGTGACACGACGTCTTTTGCGACAATCGCATCGTTTAACTGCCTGCACTACTTGTGGGGACCCATGCACACAGGTGTGCGCAAGTGGGCGGAGGCGCCGCGGAGCAGGCGAAGCCGTGCAGGCCGGGTAACAGACTGCAAGGAACGGACTAAATTACTACCTGGGAACATGTTCTGCCCGACCAATGGCCCACCTTGGAAGGTAATTGGGACGAGGACACATCATGATCAATGCGTATTCAACTGCCGCATAAGATCAATAACATATATTTGAATGGCTAGCATCCGAATGATAATGGTACGTGATGCATTCAAATATCCTCGAACGCGTGTATTAAAACGGGGGCGATGCGGCTACAGGATAACACTGTATGCCTACCATATGTATATCTGGATACCTGTACATTGAAATACGGGCTTCAGTGTACTCACCGTCGAATAATCGAACAGAGTTGGTGAGGAGCTTCGTCCGTATCTCGAACCTTGACGTCCTCATCCGCTGCATCGGATCACACGAGAACAACTCCGCCATCGACGTTGAGTAGTTCTCCGGTAACATACGCACACCGCTGTGGTAACTGATCAGCACACTCAATTCCCGCGATGGATGACTGACCATGAGATACAGATAAGCCTCTGCCGCCTGATTCATACAGTTCACTATGAGCAATATTATATAACGATGAAGCTTGACGATCCGAACCTCATCGGCATCGGCGACATGCTGCACCGGGAGCGTTTTCGTTTGGTTTTCGACTATGGCATTCATCTGCTCGGCCGGCAATTCGTTCAACAGCTGCATAGTTCACGGCCACATCGGTGAGCAGATTTCTTGGCCCGACCCTACATGCGCTCTCACCTTCGTAATAATCAAGCCTGGGCTAACCACGTTGGCTCTAATGGGCGCGATCTGTAGCGCCAGAGACTTGGTGAAACGCTCGGTTGCTCCATTGATGGCGGCGGGGAGCGCCCATCCTTTCGGACTGGGTGGCTTGCGAGAGGCAGCGCCGCTCGTGAACGTAATCGAGGAGCTTGCGGTCTTCGGCATACGGGCAGGCGCGTATTTTCCCGCGTATATGGGTCCCATAGTGCGTACCACGAATGCATCTGCGGCATGGTAATGAGCGCCAGGCATGCGCGTGCAACAACTTGAAATTGACCATTGAACTTCGTCAAATCAACGTCGGGATAGCCAAGGGGAATCTTGCTATCGGCCGCCGTATAGACTAATATGAATTTCAGCACAAGAACGAAAGCGCAGATCGTTCATCCCATACTCAGATGATCAAACTCGGGCAACGCTTCGAAGAACGCCTTGACGACACCTTCTCCTCCCTTGATGTCGCAGACGCAGCCTTCTACAGCTTGCCCAGTACCGAGGTCAATGAGTCGCGTAACCGCCGCGTCAACCCTTCCTTGGTGCGAAGACGAGATGGTCACCGAGGCACCTGCGTAAAGAGCGAGCTTGGCTACCGCAAAGCCTGCAAACATGTCTGATCAGATCAACGGATCAGCGCAATTCTAGCGTACCTATACCGCTCGAACCGCCGATAACGACGACACGCTTGCCTCGAAGTTTGTCTTGCACTTGGGATATAGGATACCGATCTGCTCACCGAAGTGAGCTTCAAGGAAAGGATCAGACCCTCCCTTTATACCCCCATGTGCTCACTCATCCCCCGGGGTTATCGAGTGTTCAACTTGCATGTTGTTAATATAGACCTATTCAGGTCGGCGCTGTCCTGATTCGGTGGTGCTCAAACTTTCCGGACAGTGCAACATCTGTCCGTCATTGATGTGGAGCCAATTCCGTATGGAATGCATTAATAAAACACCTCTTTCCTGTGATTGTGTTGAAGTCAGTATTGAGTTGATATACCACACTGACCACGCACGCAAACTAGCGAACCCTCGTCGAAGCTCAGCCTGAGCGCAGCAACACCCTCGTGCAACCTCAGATGTGATATGGGGGCCGTCCTTTGCGCGCGAGTCATCTGGAGGTCATGGGTGGGACCCTGAAGGGCAATGCGCGACCTTAGGACGAGGAATGCCCACCTTTGAAACCTCTGCGGACTTGATGGTATGCGGAACGAGTGCATCAGAAATTCTGTTTGAGCCGGCGAATTTGCGGATGAACGATCGATACTCGGACAGACAACCTTCACGCAATCGCGACGAGACCATGCTATGAGTTGAAATGTGATCATGACCCAACTCAACTGAATATGAACATTGAGGAATACAGAACACTGATGATCCGAGGCGTGCTGCATCGTGTACCCGATGCTCGTATATAGAATCCCCATATCCTCGTTAACTGCATCGGGTCACACGAGAACAGCTCCGCCATCCACATTGAGTAGTTCTCCAGTCACATATGCACACCGCTATGGCAAAAATTAGCCGATTAACTCAGACGCGTGGAAGACTCACCATGAGGTACAGATAAGCCTCCGCCGCCTGAATCATATACTCGCTATGAGAGATGGAGACGTCGTGATACATGTTAACGGGACAAACCTCATCAGCATCGGCAACATGCTGCACCGGGAGTGCCTTCGTTTGATGTGCGATTATGGCATTCATCTGCTCCGCCGGTTGCTTGTCCAGCAGCTGCGCGTTTACATGTGAGCTTATATCCCATCCCTGGCCTGTATGCCGCTCTCACCTCCGTAATGACCAAGCCTGGGCTGACTATATTCGCTCTGATGGGCGCAACCTGAACCGCCAAGCCCTTGGTGAATCGCTCAGTCGCACCGATGATGGCGGCGGGGAGCGCCCATCCTTTGGGCGGCTTGCGAGAGGCAACGCCGCTCGTGAACGTGATCGAAGAGCTGGCGGTCTTCGGCATACGGGCAGGCGCGTACTTTCCCGCGTATATGGGCCCCATAGTACGCACCGCGAATGCATCTATAGCATGACAGTACGCGTCAGCCATGCGCGCATGAAACAGTTGAATGCTGACCACTGATGTTGGTCAGATCAACGTCGGGATAGCCAAGGGGAATGCCGCTGTCTCCGGCCGTGTACACTAATATACAATTCAGCATGCGAAGGAAGACACGTCGTGAGCTGCATACCTAGATGATCAAACTCGGGGAGCGCTTCGAAGAACGCCTTCACAGCGTTTTCACCGCTCTTGATGTCGCAAACCCGCCCTTCCACCGGCTGGCCAGTGCCAAGGTCAAGGAGTCGCTTCACTGCCGCGTCAACTCTTCCCTGATTTGACGATGAGACTATCACCGAGGCACCGGCATAGAGAACGAGCCTGGCCACCGCAAAGCCTGCAAACCGTCTGATGAGATGGATGGACCTGCGTGTTCTCCAGCGTACCTATACCACTTGTGCCCCCTAATACGACGATACGCTTGCCTCGAAGTTTATCTTGCGCTAGGAACATCGGACAGTGATCAGCTCCGAAAAAGTAAGCTGTAAGGGGGGGGCAGGATGCTCCCTTTATACATTCATGTGCTCACCTCATCCCCCGTAGTATCCGAGGCACGACGTGCATAAGGCTCATTCAGGCCGGCGGGACCTTGGCGACTTCCCATCCAAGCTGTCTTGTCTGTTGCCATTGCTAGTGTCTGCATGCTTCTTGTTGGTAATCAGTATCTATTTCCTAGCGTCTGCGGCCCACTGGTAATCCACCTGGGTTGGCGTTGGATCACATTCATGCGGTTCCCCACCGCTGCCTCGGCCTTGCGGCAATTATCATCCGTTCACCTCGGATGCCGTCTTATACATATAGGGAATTCCTTAGGCTTAGGGAAGCGTGAGGTCGATGGTGCTGATAGTGCAAAAGGAACAAGGGCGAGCAAGCAAGTACTAATGGTAGGCGTGTGTGCAAAACAGATTCAAGAACGACGTGAGATGGCGGGGTCGATGCGAGGGTGGGGTCGATGCGAGGGTAGCCTTTGTATGGCGAAAGCCAAAAACAGTCTCTCTGGCGGGGAGTCGAACCCCGCTCTCCCGCGGCCGATGATGACGGATCAATTCATGACAGGCGGGTGTACTATCCGATATACTACCAGAGACTTGCAGATGGTTCTGCCAACACATCTATGGACCGTTGGATCCCCTGACAATTATTCCTGCTTGATCCATATCTCGTTGCTCACTCTCACACTATGAGCTCGGCTGAAGAGATCGCAAAAGCTGCCAAGCTTGCCTTCGAGGCATCTCAGCTCATACCTTCGGCTGAGCGCGTAACAGCCCTGCAACATATCCGCCATGAGTTAGAAGTCTTCAAGTCGGACATCCTCGCTGCAAATGCCAGAGACCTGGAGGTGCAGCAATCCAGTCTACCCCGGCTTCCGGACGCTGTCTGACTGTGTCCTGGATGGGCGCAGGCCGCGCGAGCAGAAGTGGACGCTGGCCGGATGTCGGGATCGCTCTTCAAGAGGCTCGATCTGGCGAAGGGCGACAAGTGGGACGCGATGCTGCAAGGCGTGTCGGACGTCGCGGCATTGCCGGACCCTACGGGCATCGTCACCTATGCGACGGAGCTGGACGACGAACTTGAGCTTTACCGCGTCTCCTGTCCGATCGGCGTGTTGCTTGTGATCTTCGAGGCGCGTCCCGAAGTCGTGGTCAACATTGCTTCATTGGCTATCAAATCTGGTAGGTCACTGCTATCTTACTTATGCTTTCGCTTGACCCGCAACCGTACAGGCAATGCTGCCATCTTGAAGGGCGGCAAGGAGTCGAACCAAACAACAGCACTGCTGTCGAAGGTCATTCAGGCTGGATTGGCGAAGACTTCCCTCCCTAGCACATATATCCAGAGCATTCAGACACGCGCAGAAGTAAACTCTCTGCTGGCTCTGGACCAGTACATCGACTTGGTGATTCCGCGGGGTAGTAATGCCCTTGTACGGAATATTCAAAACAACACTCGCATCCCGGTCATGGGTCACGCGGATGGAATCTGCTCCGTCTACCTGGACGAGACTGCAGACGTCGACAAGGCGGTTCGGGTAGTCGTGGACTCGAAGGTGCGCTCGCGTACCTTACCTTGTTAATGCCATATCTGACAGACGTGTTGTACAGACGGATTACCCTGCCGCATGCAACGCGGCAGAGACTCTCATCGTCCATCGATCATTACTCCATAATGTCTGGCCAACCGTCGCTTCCGCTCTCTTGACTGCAGATGTCCGCCTACTTTGCGATCCTTCTACCCTAGAGGCGTTGAAAACCTCATCCTCCCCTCCCCCAAACATGGCCTCACACGTTGCCCCTTCAGATGAAAGCTCCTATGGGGTTGAACACCTGTCCCTGACCATTTCCGTCCTCACGGTTGACTCATTACACCAGGCCATTTCCTTCATCAACGCTCACTCGTCTCATCATACCGACTCGATCGTCACCGAGTCGGACGCCACCGCTTCCGCATTCTGCAGGGGTGTCGACAGCGCAGGCACATACGTCAACGCCAGCACCCGCTTCGCGGACGGATTCCGCTACGGGTTCGGTACCGAGGTAGGTATAAGCACGGGCCGCATTCACGCCCGCGGCCCCGTCGGCCTCGAAGGCCTCGTCACGTACAAGTACATGATGCGGAGCAAGGCGAGCAAGGGGCACATCGTGGGCGAGTTCGGGTCGGGACCAGGGAAGAAAAAGTTCAAGCACCAGAAGATTGACGCGCAGGCGGTGCCCTTTTAATGCCATTATATTGCGATGCAAATGCTACAAATGTACTATGCTAGGTCGTGCGATAGATAGCGGTGAAGAGATGCGGCCAGATTATAAGGATACAATGCGGGGTATTCCATGGGACGAACAGTCATGGTGTGCCCCTTCACGAAGCGGCATCATCTTCCAGCTTTGCCTTTTTGTCGGACGGACTGCCCGCGTCGTCGTCTGCTTTCCGCTTCCCAGAGCCATTGGCGGCGGGTTCCTTTTTCTTCTTCTTGACCATCGACGTCAGGTCGTTGACCTGGGCGGGCGCGCCAGTTGATGCTGATCCGGTGTTCAGCTCCCGATCTAGTACTTTGGCCACTAACTCCGGCGCTGATTCCGCCCCCGTGGTTTCGGCGGGTAGCTGGCCCAATTCCTCGACCTGATCAGGCAAGTCGTTACTCCCGGATCTGTTAGACCATTATAAGACAAAAAGCTTGCCTTCAATGCGAGGTCTTCCTTGAGCTCGCTCAGCTCCCTTATTTCAGCTTCGACCTGGCTCTTGCTCATCTTGTCTACCGAATCCTTGACGAGAGCCTGTCCCGTCCACTTGGCCTTCCCCTTGCCCTTCGGGTCCGCAGGTGCTTCATCTAGTGTCGGAGGGGGCTGGTCGCCTTTTTGTAAACGGTCGCGCAATTCGGTCAGACGCGCTTCGGTACTGTCTAGGGCCCTTTGAGCGTGCACGATGGCTTCCGACAGCTTCCCGGAAGTCATGTCGAGCACGAGACTGAGCTTGTAGTGCGCCTCTGCTAGTTGGCGCGACGAAAGAGGGAGCAACTCTTCTTTCAGCGCGAGCCCCGCTCGATAGTCGGAGATCGCTTGGTCAAATTTCTCTGCATCCAGTTTATCGTTAGAGACAGCCAGTGATATATAGAGCGCATAACATAGTACCTGTCTCAAGCGATACGTCTCCGAGAGTGATGTACGTGTCCGCGAGCTTGAGTTTTATCTCGTCGTCGGCATCTTTGCCTTTGGCATATATCGCGCGAGCGAGTTCGAGAACCTCCCAAGCGGCGTTGAAGTCGTCTTCGGGCTCCGCGTCATCGTCTTCTTCCTGTTCCTCCTTCGCGTCTTCTGCCTCAACATCCTTCGCCGCCTCAGCAAACAGGTCCACAGGTTTATCCTCAGACTCTGCCATGGGCTCGTCCTCCTCCTCCGCATCCCCTGAAAATGATATAAAGGCGCCGTTGGAGCCTGGTACACGTTTCAGGCGCGAGGTCAGCGAGCCACACTGGCAGGACAAAGGGATGATCGTTTACCTGCTTCTTTAGACGGATCCTCCAATGCCTCGTCGGTTTGCTCCTTCCCAAGAACCGAGCTCTGTGCAATTGCGTTCTCGAGCAGAGCGCGCCCATAGGAAAAGTAGAGGTCGGCTGTCTCGGGTGCGTCTTGGCCAACCTGTTCGGTTCTGATCCAGGTCAGGGGGAGTGGCAACGGCGTTCGAGACAAAGCGAAGACACACTGAATTTCTAGAGCTACAGCGTAAAGCTCCGCCGCTTGTTCGTACTTCTTGAGCGCAAAGGCGCGTTTCGCATGTTCAACCGCGGTCTCGACGGTCATCCCTTCGGTTGAGATGTCGGTGGCCGTAAGATCGGGTTTCGGGGGTTCGCTACACCAATCCAGTTTATCAGCACGTATCTCCGCAAGTTTTCGTACAACACAGCGTACCTAGACATGATGGCGATGGCGGATGTGGTGGAGGTGAAGCAAGAGCTGTGGCTTGGGCGCCAGACGCGGACGCGATGAGACGCGTATCAGGTGACTATGCACTGCCACTTTCTAGGATTAGCGGCGGCAGAGGCTCTTCACCTCTGTCGCGGCAGGGTGCATACGTACTGCACCCATCATTGGCCGACCGCTAAGGTGTCATGCAACTATGAGTTGATAGAACAAGATACGAGTCCTTTGTCGACGTTGCAGTGGGAACGTATGGGATTCACTAAGTTGGCCAAGTTTGACGACACTGTCTTGACGCCCACTCACAATGACAACAGGTTCAGCGAGGATGACTGAGCCAGTTTCAAGGGCCGATCAATTGCGTGTGCGCTTCGTGGTAGGTATGCCGAGACAACCATAAATATGTTCCGACTTTGTGATTGTCGATACTTGTTCAACTCTTAGACCCCCGCAATGGCCTCTGTTTTTGGATTTATCAAGCGTGTCAAGACTGCACGTGCGCCATGAAATATTGTCGTCTGTTTCAGCTAATGTACCCTGTCTGCCTCTAATACAGGCCTTCAATCCGCCTGAGGTGCCCAAAGCTGAGAACCCGATTCGTTTCGGTATTCTCGGCGCAGCCAACATCGCCCCTGAAGCCCTCATCAAGCCTGCGAAGAGCCATCCTGAGGTCGTCATCGTTGCCGTTGCGGCACGCGACAAGACTAAGGCAGAGAAATATGCCAAGAAGTGGGGGATAAAGAAGGCATATAGCGGTTCGACAGGTTATGACGGTATGTGTGTGTCGACGACGATTCGAAGGCAAGGTGCTAATAGTGCATATTGGCCGCAGAGCTACTGAATGACCCAGACATTGACGCTATATATAACCCTGTGAGTTACACGTGGATGATTGACAACAAGCAACTCACGATGTATGGTAAGCTTCCGAACGGGCTACACTACGAATGGACCATGAAAGCCTTGTCGAAAGGCAAGCACGTTCTCCTCGAGAAGCCCAGTGCGGATACCGCGGACGAGACCCGGAAGATGTTCGAATTTGCAGAGCAGAAAGGTCTGGTTCTTCTGGAGGCGTTCCATTACAGGTGATATCAGCGCTGTTGCATTGTCTTCTCCCCTTAGACTAAACACTCGACGCGCATCAGGTTCCACCCTGCCACTCACCGTGCCAGGGCGATTCTCCAGAGCGGTGAACTGGGTGCTGTCAAAAGCTTCACTGCGCACATGACGCTTCCAGAAATTGGATTCATCCCTAAGGACGACATCCGTTATGACTACGCTCTCGGAGGCGGCTGCATGATGGACATGGGAGGTGTGTAAGGCTCGTGGAGCGGAGCACACGGACTTCCTGAGTTGTCACTGACCCCATCCATCGCCCAGGCTACCCCCTGAGCATCATCCGTTTCCTCACAGGGAGCAATCCCGTCTCCGTCCTCAGTGCCGACGCGGAACTCGCACCCACGGCAGTGAACGATATAGTCGACAAGGGCATAACCGCGACGTTCGCCTTCCCGAACGACGTCACCGCTACCGTACGGTGTCACTTCGGCCTGCCGCTCAAGCTAGGCTTCATACCGCTAACCCTGAGCAACTTCGTCTTCCCCACGGTCTGGCACTCCATCACGGTGAGAAAGCGCCAAGGCAGCAGCCGCCTAACGCGCACGGAGAAGGCGTACACGTTCGAGGATGGCAAGGGCGAACCGTGGTGGATGACGTAAGTTTGTGCTGCACAACCTGGAAGTGTTCGGAGGAGCGGGCTTGCTGACGACAACCGTGCAGTTATCGGTACCAGCTCGAAGCGTTTGTAGATAGGCTGAAGGGTCGCACGCCGCACTATTGGATAACTGCAGAAGATTCGATCACCAACCTGGAGTGGATACAACGCGTCTACGAAAAGGTACAGCTCGGCTCAAATGTGCTCGTGGTTCCTTACTGACCGACTCGACAGAGTGGCGTAGGAAGCCGCCCGGCGTCCAAGTTCGTGCTCTGATTCGACTGGTTTTCTCCTGCGTAAACGCCTTGGCTGAGGGTTTGACCAATGCAACTCCCACCGTATACACCACATAATCGGTACCTCAGTTATATATCTATAGTGACACCGTTCTGTTCCCGAATACATGGCTGCCGGCCTAGAGCGCAGCCCCATCTCGCCGCCGGTTCGCCAGCGGACAGGCATGGCACCCATGAGATCATTCCTATTCATTGATCAGGCCTCAGGCGTGACCCTATCATCGAACGCGAGGCCACGATAGTAGTGTACATCAGGTGGGAAGCTTGTTCGCGGATTTGAAGAGGATGACGAGAGGGGTCACTGTCATGTCCAAATCGAGCTGAGTCAGGCGCAAGCTCTCCGGACAGAAATAAATGGACCCGTACCGACGCTAGCAATCCAGACGATGGTGCGCAGGCCTCCGCCAGCGATCCTGTTCAGCGAATCGCTGATATAGATGGTGTTGTAGAGCAGTCGAAGTCCGATGCTATTGCACCAAGTATGAGCGGAGAGCGATCATCACGGATGCTAGCAGACGGACAAGGTGAGCGCGTAAATGTTGAGGGTCTCATGATCGAGGCCGGCGAGATTGCCAGCCAGCTACACATCCAGTCAGGATAACGTTCGCCGAACGCGGACAATTGACGTACCACGGCGGCAGCCCAGAGTGGGAATATCTCGTTGCCATTGGCGTGCGCGCTGAACATCCGGTCAGCACGGGCGAAGACAGTCGGGTTCTTGTCCTGAAGGCGCTTCATCTGCGCGCGAGGTTGAATACTGGAAATCATTATCGAAGTTTAATGGGGCAGCCAAGTCTCTCTCCATACTTGTCCGGTGCAATCGTCTTGTTGACGAGTTGAGTCTGAACAACAGTAACTGTCATTCGTGACAGACGATGGATTTGTGCGAACATTGTCCGTACCTTGAGGACATGAGGGTAGAATGCAGTGATGTACGCTGCAGGGATAGAGTACAACGAGAGACCGGCGGTTGCAAGGGAGTAAGTCATCGCGGCTTGGGCTCGAGGGGGAGGTCCGGTGAAGATGGCAGCTCTCTGTGGTCAGCGGTCGCCTTTTGAATGGTTGCTCGATCAGAGTTTGGTCAAGTATTCTGATGCCGCTAGCATTCGTCACCCCGCGGGACAATCAAGTAAGGCTGTAAGGGCACGTATGATCTTGCCAATTTCATGAACGCTTGCGACATGGCGTGGACGTGGACAACGCTGAGAGACAGAGTAATAAGTATCAAGGGCATCCAATCCAAAACCAAGCAAAGTACGTCTCGGGGTTCTCCGATCAGCAAGGTACATTTTACAGCCATCTTCTAGGAGTTTGCGGGGCAGTATCACATTGATCGAACTTCGTCTACCTTTCAGTCTTTGACAAGTCTTGACCTTGCCGATACATATACAGATCTTTCTGTGGTATTTCGAGATGCCGACACGAACTCACGTGTCCTCGGTTCTGACTATTTCGCATACTTGCCTATCAGCCTATACCTGATACAGTAGGTTGTACAAACTCGACGCTGCAATGAGACCAATTCATTCAAGTTCCAGGCTTATGTGTGTCTCACAATGTTCGATGTCACGAGTATTGAATATCGCGTGTACGCCTCTATGCAGACCCCACCAACAAACCTCGTAGTGTTTACCCATCTCCCCACTCAGGGCGATTAAGATGATCACAGCACAGCCACCCCCTGCTGGCTGGGCCCAAGATGACCCCGGCGATCATCTTGAGGTGTGATAACGAGATCTGGATGATAATCTACACAACTGATGGCGTGCGCTCGCGACTGCGCCCGCCGCCGCCGGCGCGTTGAGAGAATATAGTCCATCGTGCCCCAGCGGGGCAATTTGTAAGATACAAGAAGCGTACAAGACACATGCGGAATGAAAATGTACACAAGTGGACGACGAACGACAGATCGAACCCGGCCCCGAGAGACGCCAAAATCGACGGAGAATAAAACGGCAACTTGACCGAACATCGGCGCATCGACATCGATCAGTTCTTGTTGATACTGAGCAATTCGACTTCGAATTGCAGGGTGCTATTGGGCGGGATCACTGGAGGGAACCCGCGAGCGCCGTATGCCTGCGTGACGAAAGGGACCGGCGACATCTGTTGAGAACGCATGGGAGGAAGATGGAGTAGGTGGACACACATAATCAGGCGTTGCGGTCAGGACTGCCTTCTCTCCGAGCGACAGCTGGGGAACGCCTAATCATATCGATGATCGGGTTAGATGCGACCGATGACCAGTTTTGCAGCCTGGATAATAAGAACGCACCCTCGTCCCAACCCTTGATCACCTTCCCGACACCGATCTCGGTTTCGAAAGGCGAACCCCTATCGAAGAAGATGAGTGCAGAGTCGGGTGAGTTGGTGCTACGAACACGCACCGATCTCGACTAGAGTCGAACTTTGTCCCGTCGCGAAGAGTCCCGACGTAGTGTATGGTAACTAGGTCTGGGGAAGATAGCGTGAGATATATCAGCGGGGCGTGCAGTAGGAGATATCTACACACCACCCTTCCGGGGATAGTTCACACCATCTCCTGGAGAGATCCTCTCAATGGTCACGCCCTGCGCATGGCTGAGTCCGCGTTGACGAGCACGATCCAGAGGACTCACCATCGCTGAGATCGTTGGCGAAGGTGGGTGGTGGAATGACCGGAAGTTTCCTGGATTGGCCTCGATACTTATACCTGCGCGGAGAGGCGGAGTGCGGATCTTGATCCGATCTGCCTTATCGTGCAAAGCGTTCAAGGGGATGGAGAAACGGTAGCGGCTGTGCGCAATGAATCGTGACCTTCTCATCGTTAATCGATAAGTTTGGGCTCTATAGGGTCCAGCCCGAGCCATCCTATTCTCCGCTCGGGGTGTCGTAACGAATGCAGTCTGTTCAGGTTAGAGCGCGCGACGGTAACAATCTCTATAGTGGAGCCGCATCCAGAAATGCGTTAATCTGATGAAGTCATAGAAGGCCGAGGTAGTACCTGAATCGGCTGTGCCACTCGCAACTTCGGCGCAGCCGCTCACTATACGAGGTCGTCGGGTCACAGAAAGCTCACACAACCACGGAGTTGACGCTGTTGTACGATACATGCATGCGTATGCACCAATGAGCTGCTCGACGTTGGTCACGCTACCTCCTCGATCCTTGGGGCGTCGGAATCGTGGCCCGTCCGTCGATGTCCGGAAAGTCGGCGAGCTTCGGTAGCCGGGGCTCCGGTAGAGGCGACGCTCTCAGCCGCGAGCGACAGAGACCTCGCCATAGCTTCGTCGGCGATTGAGCGAAGGAGTGCGGGAGGCGATGTCAACACATGAGCACCGTAGAAGACGAGCTTGTTTGTGACATGACTTTGTCTCTGGCGACCGTCGTTCCCAGAGTGATCGAGGAATAGTCTGTGAAGGTCGGAGATGACGAGGAGCGTCGTGGCCGTGGGATGGTCGACGGGAATCAGGGGTCCATCTTTGGCGAAGTCAGATCCATCTGATCTCAACTGTACCACCCTCCGGGCTCGAAGGAGAGCAGCGGCATCTCGTAAGAGAAGACAGAACTGCTCGGAGGACACCGAATCCCCGCCTTCCGAGAGGTGGGAGTAGAACGCAGTCTCTACGCTTGATAAGGTCGGATGGACGAATTGGGATCTTCGGTCCGTCAAGAAGGGCGCGATCCCCGCGATTCTAGACCGCGTGATAGGTATATCCGAAACCTCCACCGAAGAGAGAGGGAACGCGCACAGATGCCTGCTGGTGTAGGCATACGCGAGGCTGAAGCAGTGATGTCAGTACGCACAAAGAGGGGAACATGGGAACGGCGAACTCGACGAACCAGACGGCTACTAGATTATAGAGCAGGAAGGGTCCTCTGTGCGCGGCGGTCGATAGTGATTTAACCATCTTCGACGGGAACGACATCATCTCGGGCGACGCTCCATATCGTTGGCCCCGGCGTGCATCATGTAGATCGACTGCACCATTCTGCATGTGCCCGTTGTAGGAAGGGTCTTCCCACCATGGCGCCAGCCACGTATCCTGCAGGGCGGGGCTTGCCAGAAGCTGTTGGGCCATCTCGCTCGAGGGGTTGCCCAAGAGTTTCATGAATTTAGCACGCTGATCGTCATCGAGCGCGTCCCATAGTGCATCAGGCGATGCAGATTCTGAGGAGTCTTCAGAACGCCGCCGAGGAGCATGTAGCCTGTTCTGCTCACCGATATCGAGGTGGCCCAGTCTCGCGGCTAGTGAATTCTCGTCCTCGTCGTCTAAGTCTAGCGTTAAGTCATCGTCTTGTTGGGAATCTTCCTCGAACCTCTTCAGTAGCTCCATCATCTGTCTCCGCTCATCCGCCGTCTTCGAGGGCGTGCCGCTGATATCAGACTCGATTTCCTTCCGGTAGAAAGCTTCCGAACATTCGGCATGGGACTAACGCAAGTGATACGCTCTTTTAAGGCGCCAGCCGTCGAAAGAGCGAATACGTACGTCAGAACGGAAACATCCCAATGAACAGTACGGTAGATTGCATCGAGAGCATAGGTATTTCGAGAATTGCCTTCTGCAACTGGACGACCGGGCAATCAGGGTTTTCGTATATCGGTGAATAATGTGAGAGCATACATGCCGCAAGGAGTCTGGAATACGGGTTCAGCGGGTTGCACGGAGGTCGCGGTGATTACAGGCGAAGTGGTCATGGTGGCTGAACACAGGGGTGAAATTTCTCTGCCGCCGACGTTCACGCTTTACTCCCAGATCCTAGGGCACTCTCGCTGCATGTCCCAGTAACCTCATCTCGCTACTAAGACCAAAGCTATCAAACGGAACATATCATGCCGGACCCTCTCTTGGTGGACAACAAAGCCTCCTTCAGCTCTTTTTCACATATCCTTGATGCTCGTCTACTGCGCGCACTGGCCGACTTGGGCTTCGCACGGCCAACATTGGTTCAGGCGAAAGCTATACCGCTTGCCCTTGAAGGTCGAGATATCCTCGCGAGAGCACGGACGGGCAGTGGAAAGACTGCGGCATACTGTATCCCTGTGATCCAGAAGGTCCTCAGCGCGAACGGCGTAGGTGCGCTCTCCCTCCCCACCCGCTCCCCAGTTGCTGAGCCATCGATCCCCGACAGCAATCAGCTCCGACAGATAAGCATACACATGCTCTCATACTGGTACCGACGCGTGAATTGGCGGAGCAAGTGAGCTCCCACTTACGGGCATTACTCGCCTACTGCGAGAACGAGGTCATCGTATCAAACGTGGCCAGTGGTGCAACGAGTCACCTCCAGAAGTGAGGCATTTCCGCACCTCCTGCATATGATTCATATTCACCCGTATCGTCGTGTGCACTGCAGGACTCTTCTGGAAGACAGACCCCAAATCGTTGTATCCACGCCGTCTCGGGTTCTCACCTTGCTCAAGTCAAAGGTGGGCCGGTACCCCTGATTCCATTCACTCCGCTCACAGTCTCCCAGACCGTGGACATCAGCAGGATCGAGTGTCTTGTCATCGATGAGGCCGACCTCATCTTCTCCTATGGCCACGATGAAGACATACGACAGATCCTTGGCGGCGGCTATCTCCCGAAGATATTCCAATCTTTCCTCATGAGTGCCACCATGACGGAGGATGTCGAAACCCTTAAGGGGCTCGCATTGCGTAATCCCGTACGTCTCTTATCTCTTGTCTATGACGCCCGCAATGCTCATCGGTGCCGTAGGCTATCCTTAGACTCGAGGAGGGCGAAGACCAGGCGGCGAATCTGACGCAGTACTCCGTCCGGTAACTTGATTGATACATCCTGGGTATCCGCCGTCTGAAACACTCGCGTCAGGTGCTCAGAGGTTGACAAGTTCCTACTCACGTACGTTATCCTCAAACTCAAGCTCATCAAAGGCAAATGCATCATCTTCGTCAACACCGTGGACCGGTGCTACCGCCTCAAGCTGTTCCTGGAGCAGTTTTCAATCAAGAGCTGCGTATTGAACTCTGAGCTTCCATTGAATTCAAGGTGATGAGCTTACTGCAGAAGTGGCTATTGACGCTGATCGTGGATTTGAAGGTATCATGTTGTCCAGGAGTTCAACCAGGGTGTGTACGACTATATAATTGCGACGGATGAAAGCGGCGGCCGTGGCGAGGAAGATTCCGACGATGAAACAGATGCGGAGGGTACCGATGAAGACGCGGCCGATGAAGATCCTGAATGTATGTTCAGGATAAGCAAGTCTCTGCGTCTCATGCTTACTCCGGTACCTAGTCTTGTCCACGCAGCGGGAGGACCCGGAGGACGGCGAGACCTCGAAGCGAAAGCCGAAGAAGCGCAAGCGTACGGAAACTTCGGCTACCCCGGATTCACAACACCCGAAGCCGAGCAAGCGAAGCAAGGGAGGCAAAGTGAAGAGCACTGATCGAGAGTATGGGGTTACCCGAGGCGTGGACTTCATCGATGTGGCTTGCGTTCTCAATTTCGATCTGCCATCGTCCTCGCGGGCATACACTCACCGAGTTGGGCGAACCGCGCGGGCCGGGCGGACCGGCATGTCCTTATCCTATGTCGTCCCCAAGGTGAGTCCTGACTGTTTCCTTCGGTGAAGATTAATCTGAAGGCAAAGTATAGGAAGAATGGGGGAAGAATAAGATTGTCGGGTGCTTAGAGACCGCTAAGAAGGACGAAAAAACCTTTGCGAGGATTGAGAAAGAGCAAGCTGCGAGAGGTAGCAAGATAAAGGAATATAAGTTCGATATGGCACAGGTTGAGGCGTTCAGGTATCGAATGGAGGACGCCCTTCGCTCTGTGACAAGAGCGGCAGTCAAGGAAGCCCGAATCAAGGAGCTGAAAACGGAGATACTAAATTCCGACAAATTGAAGGTAAGGAATCGCCTGGAGCTATCGCAGTTATAATGCTCACACGATCGAAACAGGCTCATTTCGAGGACAACCCCCTTGACCTCGAGTATTTGCGACACGACAAACCGCTGCACCCCACGCGCGTACAGCCACATATGAAGCATGTACCAAAATACCTATTACCCCGGATTGCCCCCGCTCCGGTGGAGGGGCAAGCTTCTACTCCGACGGAAGCCGAGCAGGAGCGTTCGAGCAGCGCCGGGTTCGTACCTTTCACCAAAAATTCAGCACGGGGCCGCGGACGAGGAAGGGGGCGTGGTGGCAGAGGTGGCAGCAGAGGTGGCCGCAAGAAAGCTGATCCTTTGAGAAAGTTTGGAAGATAGATTGATCATGCACCGACGTGTTAGTACCGTTCCACCAGTATGGATAAACAAGCTCATTAGCCTGCTTTGACACCTGCAATGTTCAGACTCGCTTTGCTTCCGCCGCTTCCCCACACACGTACATGAACGCGGTACGTGTTCCGAGGATCAATTGTACGTTATTCGGACCCATGTCATGGCACCTTAATATGCGGTATCCTGCCTACAACTGCCTTCAATCGCCGACGTCCGGCTTGGTTGCTGTTACTGCTGATACTCGTCTGTGTGTATGATTATTACGTCTCGTTATCGCCGACGCGACTAGACGCAACCTGGGCCTACAGCTCGAGTACCACGATCTTTAGGTCCCTGGATATAGCACATCAAGCTTATTCTCTCACCGCCGGTATGCACGTGTTAGACGGCGCCTCTGCATGTCTGCGCCTGCCTGCACTTTCTATGAACGTCCCGCGCCTAAACGACGAACGTTGGCGTCGCATGAACTGCTTATTCGGTTGCGACCCGGAAATAACTTTGAAAGAGACGGCTAAAGTACTCTTTTAGGCATCCATGCGCTTCTGCGCATGATGCGTTAGTTCCTCCTGTGGGAGCCCTCGTTCTATTTCAAGATAACGCTCTTCGCATTCGCGTGCAGCAGAGGTTTCCGTGCCGAGCTTTGCAACGGTCGTATACCTATAAAGCGTACACGATGTAAGTATTACATTCCCTTCCCTTGTCTAGCTGACAAGAACTACAATGCTAGGCTCGCTGTTACTTTATCTTGCTTTGGCAGTGCTCATCGCTTCTCATGTGGCTGCAGACCTTCTCAGCGATATTGAGACCGCGCTCGAGAACGCGGTGGATTGTGCTTCAGGCCATGTTTTGATGGTTCCGTTGCAGGCGCTCGCTGCCCTGGGAAACGACGCGTTTGTTGATACTATCGTGGCTATTTGCCAAGACTTCAACGTAGGCTTCTTTCTGCTTTTCCCAACGAACGAGACATTCACGAGGCCACCCCAGCTCGAGGACGACGACGTGTGCGCGGGCGCGATCGGAGAACAGGGACCGATTCTCGCGCATGATCTACGCCAAATCTCGGCGACCGGACAAACTGCGTCGAAATTCCTGGATGCAGTTTTCGGGCTATGCCAGCCCCCGGGTAAGACACGATAAGCATACTATCGCTTGCATCTGATTCGTGGTAACGCGTCATCGGAAGCTGTGAACGCCTTCACTGTGCCATTCCCAAGTGCGGCACCGACCAACCCCAAGGCTTTCGTATCCTCTGGCAAAGCACCCTTCCAGGTTCGGAATCAGTAGCCCATTGATCCGCCGGTGACTACTGACTCTTTTTTACGTATGCAGGTCATTCATTTCAGCGACGTTCATATCGACAGATCTTATACCGTGGGCTCCGAGGCGAATTGCACGAAGCCCATTTGTTGCCGCAATTTTGAGGATCAGACGGGCTCCGTGACAGAACCAGCGGAACCAAATGGCAATAGCCGATGTGACAGCCCGGTTTCCCTCGCGGATTCAATGCTTGAAGCTGCTCAACACTTCGGTGGATCCGCTCGCTTTTCCATCTTCACGGGCGACGTAGTGGAAGGTTTGTGTTATTGGCATACATTCGGAACCGAGTGTTGAGTAAATCCGCAGGAGAGGTATGGCTCGTTAACCAGACGTAAGCCTTCGCGCCAAACGTGTATCTGACACATCATCAAACAAAGCACTTTCATAGCGAGGTCACGGGTGACTTGGAGGCATTCAATGCGGAGATGGCATCTAAGCTCGGTGCCCCTGTTTTTGGAGCCATAGGTAATCTTCCTACATCTGTCTCCTCGTATCCCGATCAACGAGTTATTTCCGGTTAATCAGGCAATCAGTGAGCAGCGAAGCACAGCATTAATTTGATATCTTTACTCACTTCGTAACAGCGACGCAGCGCCTGTGAACAGCTTCCCAAGGAACACGACAACCACGACAATAGACTCGCAATGGGTATTCGATACGCAGAGTGCCGGATGGACCGTGAGCCATGCACCCAATTTCGGTCGAGACATCCTTGACACTTTGTGTAGCGATGGATCAACTCATCCGCAGCGAACCAGCTGGATCACATGTCGGGCAGCTACTCTGTCATCGTACCAGGGACAGATCTGAAGTAAGCATCAGCGATTCGAAAGACAGGTGTTGATCTGAATCTCGTCGCTCTAGAATCATTTCGGTCAACACGCAGTATTGGTACAAACAAAAGTAAGCGCAACTCATCGGTGATACCCTTCGCGCTCATGGTTTCCTACCTAGCTTCTGGGTTTATGACAGCGACACGCAACAGTACGGTGATCCGATCTCGTCGTTTTGATATTAATCTATCCTTTCAGAACCGATCCCAACGGGATCCTTGGATTCATGGTGCAGGAGTTGCAGAGCGCGGAAGACGCCGGTCAACGAGCGTGCATCATTGGACACATGCCCTTGGGGAAGGTAATATAGCGAAGTCTCCACGGCTACTGTTTGCTAACCAGACGAGTAGGAGGACGCGTTGAATGATCAGGTGAGGCATCTTTCCGCTACACATATCGTGCACCTGCTCATTTACATCATGATCAAGTCCAACTATTATGACCAGATAGTGCAGCGGTATAAAAACACGATTGCAGTGCAGTTCTTTGGTCACAGTCATAAGGTGAGTTACGTACTTAACAGTACAGCTTATTAATTGCGACCTCACACTTCCCTAGGATCAATTCGAGATTGCGTACTCGGATTACAACGACCAGACCGCGTCTACGGCAACGAGCGTCGCTCTCATTGCTCCTGCACTCACTCCTACCAGTATGCATGGATGTAAGCCGTATAGTTTGGAGAGATTGATCGTCGTGTCTTGTAGGCGGTAACCCAGCGTTCAAGATTTACGACATTGATCCAGACACGTTCGAAGTTATCGACGCACGAGAATATATCGGTTCGTCGTCGTATCCGCATTCCACTGCTAAGAGATCGGGACTGATGTCGTTGTAGCCAACATCAGCTCGCCGGGATTCCAAACTCAACGTACGTGCCGCTGAGGTCGACGTTTGCAGCCACTTGCTGACGATAATCCCAGCCACATGGGAGCTGTATTATAGGTGAATCAAGGCCGGTTACCGCACATGTTCATGAATCGACTAAACGTCCCTTCCTCAGTGCTCGAGACAGCTACGGGCCGCTTGTTGGTAATCTCGGCCCTACAGATGCGCTTAACGCTTCGTTTTGGCACAAGCTCACGGAGGTCTTCGAGTCCGACGACGACGCGTTCCAGCTTTACAATGCGCGGCTAAGCCGGGAGACGATCGCGGAGGTCACGGCGTGTACCGACGACTGCAAGAACACGGCGATTTGTGACATGCGGGCTTTGAGGGCCGAAAACAACTGCGTGCGTATCGTGAAGCAACTCGCCATGGTGGGCATGAAGGGTTGATGATGTATGTGGGTAGGACACCGCGACGGCGGGGATCTCCTTCAAGAGGGACACACACGAGCACTCCAGCGAGTCTGATGCATGCGAAGGCACCGGTGCCGCGCGCATCATGCGCAAGCTCAGGGACAGAGTTTTGTCCGGCTCGGTACGTTGTCGTGGTCGCTTGCAACGCAAGGGCCTTCCCTCATCGAGTTTGCAGCGACTGCCCACGGACCGGCTGAGGAAGCGTCTGGAGGCGGTGAACCTGTAGGGCTGGAAGGGTTGATATTACAATGACTATGGTACAGCGATACCGTCCTTCTGACAACTATATAAACGTCATTATGTTGATGGATTAGTTGCCTTGATGGTGTTACTTGCGGGGCATGGAATGCGTCTTGAACAACGTCACCTCGATCGTGGCTGGTCGCTCGTCGGGTATCTCGGGTTCGTCTCTGTCATACGCGTCAGTTTTCATTTCGGAGGCTCGCGAGCAGCGTGGTCCACATACTCTTCGGCATCTATAATCCTCTTGATGCCGTCGATCACGTTTGTGGAAAGGGCTGGCGCTGGCTTGCCCGTCTTCCGCTTCTGGAACTCTGAGGTCCACTCCCCAATCTGGGCATGATAATTCCACCCGATGCGCGCGAACGTCGCGTCGGAGATGGTCGACGAGTCAACCTTGATCGCAGGCTGGCACATGTCCTCGTAGAACTTCTTCGCGGTGCGAACGACGGTGTAACGCGCCGTGCGACGCACTTTCGCGTCGGGGTCGAACCAGGAGAGGGTGATAAACTTCGCCTCGTCCTCGCTGAACTGGGCCGCGTTCGACAGGTCGCGCCGCTCGAGCTTCTTCGCCCTGAGGTCCGCGAGCCGCTGCGCGGCCTTCTCCCGGCAGCGGTCGTAGTGCTCCTTCAGCCGGCCGGCGAGCTCCGCCTGCCACCTCTCCTCCGCGGCCCTCTCCTTCGCGTCGATCCAGACGTAGATCGCGTACGCGATCGAGACGGCGCTCCCGAGCGGGTGCGCGTGCAGCGCGATCGCCAGCGTGAGCTTCACGACCTGGGTGGCCATCGTGCCGAGGAAGCTGAGGTCGATCTCGTCGTCCGGCCCGGAGGCGACGACCTTCACCGCGCGATCCTGGATGCGGTCGCCGAGCTCGTCCTTGGCCATGTCGACGAGGATGTCGGTCGCGAGGCCTTCGGCGTTGAAGAGCGCGGTGATCGCCTTCAGCGACTTGTCGAATAGGCAGCCGGCCTTGAACGTTTCCTTGCCCTTCGACATCTCGACGAAGTCTTTGTCGGAGAGGAGCGGGGTCTGGTGGTGGATGTTAAAGAGGTGATAACCGATAGATGGGGAGGAAATGCACCTTGAGCGACATTTGTGACGGAAGAGGGCTAGCGTCGGTACGATGAAGCTGGACGAGGAAGCGGTCAGCAGTTGCGTTGGCTTGGATAGCATCGAAAGCGATAACCCACTAGATGGATTTCGTCTGACGAAGATCGCCTCCGTTTTGTCCAACCTCAAGACTTGGACTGGTTATGTACGCAGCAGCGGAGACCGCGTTACGTGCCCGTCAGGTATGTGTGCCTTGGGCACCATGGACTCTCCGCATCGGTGCCTCATCCAGCGTTCTAGACGACTGCAAGTGCCAGCAGAGATGGAGCAAAACTATATTCGCGTGACGGGCGTGCCTTCGGAGACGTACCGGGACCGGTATGGTGCCTGCGGTGGCGGTATTCGCTGCGCTTCCCGCAAGGAACCGCAGAGCTCCCCCTGGAGCCCCCGTCCGAAGTGTCAACTAGAAGCGGATAAGGACTCGGAGACATGCACTCGATGATTTACGATCAGCTTCCGGAAAGCGGCGGTGGAGCAGCTTGAGAGTCAAAGCAACGGGGCGTCGTCAGTTGTTGCCCATCGCCCCCGCCCAAGTTGCCTGAGCAGGGCGCCTGCAAGGTGATAGGTGATTGTGCAAATTCCGAGAGGTGTGTTAGTTAGTGCGTAATGCTACATGATATGACAATATGGTTGAGTGATGATGCAACGTCTAACTGTATCTATCGTAGTGTCAGTATACTCGCACTCGGCGATCCACATATCCCTCACTAACAGCGTTCGCTCAGTCGCAGCTCCCATCGCTCGGGCCGTCCTTCCACCTCTCGTCCGTGCTCTTGATGCTACAGTCAAACTTGGGCTTGCCCAACCGCTCGTTCACCTCGTTGTGCCTGTCGCATAGCCAACGACTGAGGCCTATCCGGCCGCTCACGTCCGGCGGGTACGCCTTCAACTCCTCTCCTAGATGCGAGGCACAGTGCGAGCAGGGGTAGAGCACGGGCAGCGAGTGCAGCAGGTTGAGCATGTTCGCGCGCTGGAGCGGAGTGGGCCGGTCCGGGTAATACGCGGCGGTGGTGTGCAGGAACGTCCAGGTCGAGCGACCAAGCTGCTCGACGTCCGGCGGACAGTGCGCAGGGGGTGCGTCCGGTTGGTCCGCGGTGACGAGGGTCGCCGCCGTACCACTCGCCGCCGCCGCCGCCGCTCCTGCGCCCGCCCCTTGCTTCGCGGCCTTGGCAGCCGCAACGGGCCTCCAGTTGCGGAACGCCGTGCACGGTTTACATGGTTTTCCGTCTGGACCAAGGACGACGCCGGGGGGATGTGGCTTCGAGTCCTTGGGAGCCTCCGGCGGTTTCTGGTCAGCCATGGAGGTTTACTGCTGAGTCGCTGCTGAGCTGAGTAAAGAGCTGTGTGTGACGCTGCGCGTAGCGTAACGCCGTGTCACGCGAGCGTGATTGCGGATAAGCGCGCGTCGGGCGTTTATTCGTGCTTGCTGCTCGACCAGTTGGTGACGACGGACTAGCATGGCTCGGACACCCTTGACATCACGTCCGTTTGATCTGGTCTACTTTATATTCTTCCTGGTACGTGGTGGAAGTCATCGGGGTGTTCGCAGGCTGACGTATAGGCAGTCCCATATCCCGGCGACGGTCCTGCTCGACCTCCAAGCTATATACCCCGTGTGGATAGTCCCCGGATTCATCGCCCAGCTACCAAAGCTATATCTCCAGCTTTCTAACGATCCTATCATCGAAGGAGCCCTAAGCACCGGTCCCACCTTCCTCTGGCTACGGACCTTCATGGTCCTTGAAGCGTGAGATATCACACGAACATGCACAGAGCAAAACCACTGAATTTTTGGCCTAGACTTTTCCAGCTTCCCACCTTCGTTATCGGCGCACGAGGTCTGTACAAAGGTACGCCCTATCACGCCTTCGCGCCGGGAGGATGTAGTCCAACTGACCATCCTCTTCCGCATCACGCTCACTATAGGCTCCAAGTCCATATACCCCCTGCTGCTCGTGTACGCCGCATCCACGAGCACGACCGTCCTGCCCTGTCTCGCCGTCATCCTCGCCACGCCTTCGACCTCCCCCGAGACGCTCTCCGCCAAACTGTCGTCGGTCTCCCCCGAGCAGCGCGCGCTCCTCCTCGCGAGCTACATCCCCTTCTTCCTCATCCCCCTCCTTATGACGCTCGACATGGCCCTGCGACTGTCGAGCCTCGTCCAAAAGGCCGTACAGGCCGAGCGCGCCGTCAAGACCAAGTGATTCTGGGCGCTCTCACTCTACCCTAGTATCCTCGCGTGCGCCTGCTTCCGGTCCTCGGCGAAGGAGGTCCTGCAGCCCCAGCATCCTGTTCCATGTCATCGGCTGCGCTGCTGCCCTCTGCATGGATGGGCATCTTCCCCCACAGTGCTCATGCCGTGCGCGCGCCCATCAGACTATGCCTAGGTTGATGCAGTATTTCCGGACGTTAGGTTAGAATACAAAGGAGCGTTCCGTGGAGTGACGGGAAATAATAGTAGTAGTCCGGTCAGGTAAACCTAGGGCCCGCGCGGGGGCAAAATGCTCTCAGCCCACGCGACTATACCGAACATCGAAAGGGCATGGCATGGACGGACTCGGTTAAAGAAGAACACATGACGAAGAGATTGGGCGGCGACAAAAGCAGAGTGAGAGATCGAGATCGAGAGTTGGGAAAGACTGCGATTGTAGAGGAGACAGCATGCGGAGATGCGGAGGGGTAATGTAGTTCGTGGCGTGGACTGTAGAGAGAACGAAAGGAACATAAACGGGGCACGGGCTGACGGGAAAGAAAACAATGTAAAGTGCGTTCTAATACGGTGTTGGGGGGGACAGTATCCGGTGCACCAGATGCGCCAACCGAAGCGGCTGGAGCGCGCCTTATCGCCGATGCTGCTGCTGCCAGAGCGCGAGTGGCACGTCCTCTTCGCCTGCGGGGGCGCCGTCCGCCGTCCTCGGCCGCCCGTGCACCTTGGGCGCCACAGCGTGTGCGCTGCTCGCCCGCGGCTTGCCCAACATGCCCCCGCCATTCGGCTGGGGCGCGACCGCCGTCGCCGAGAGCGAGCGCCCCTTGAGGCCGTTCGCGCCGCCGCCCCCTCCGCCGTTGAACCCGCTCCCGCCGTTGAACTGTTGGAACTGCTGCGCCGGAGCGTATCGGTTCGGCTGGCTCTGCGGAGGCGCGCGCCCACCGCCGTAGGCCGCGGCCGCCATCGGCGGGTGCGACGACCCGCCCGCCGTACGCGCAGGGTTCTGCTGCAGCCACGCTTGCTCCATCTGCGCGGGCGGCATCGCCCCCGGCGGCAAATGCGGCGTCGCCGCAGGCCGCGGCTGCCCTCCGTCGCCGTAGTACATCGGCGCGGTTCCGGGCGGGTACTGGAACGGCTGCCCGAGCGTCGGGGACGAGTTTGTCCGGTCGCGCGAGTAACCGTAGGGCGCGACGGCGGTCGACGGCGGCGGCGGAGCCCCGCCCGTCCGAATGGGGGGCGCCGATGACGGAGGCTGACCGTACCCGCTGCCGCCGCCGTACTCCTGCTCCATCGATCGGTGCTGCATGTCGTACTGCGGGCTCCGCACCGGCATCTCCGCCCGCCGCGCGCCCGCCCCGGGCGCCCCAGGCTTGGTGAGCGTCCCCCGCTTCGATGACTCGCGTTTCTGCTGCTCCAGCCGTTCGCGCTCCCTTTCCCTCTCGCGCTCCTTCTCGATCCGCTCCTTCTCCGCCTTCTCACGCTCCTCCTTTTCGCGTTTCTCCCGCTCCTGTTTCTCCTTCTCCGCCTGGTCCGCGGTGGTCTGCCCGCCGGGTGGCGGCGTCGTCGAGGGCGTAGGCGGCTGCGTCGTCTTGTTGATGACGCCGAGGTACCAGAACATGAGGTTGCTGATGAGCACCTGCTCGTACAGCGGTCGACGCGGGTTGGCCAGTTTGATGTGGCTGAGCCTGTAGATGGCGCGTTCCACGTGGATGGGGTAACGCGCATAAGGTCCGCCGGGCTGAGGTGCTGGCGACGTCGCACGAGACTTGGCCTTCGACGCGCCCAAAAGGGCCGCCGCCGCCTCTCGGCCGGACGTCCCTGACCCTATCGGCGTCGACGCGCTCTCCTCCTGCTTCTTCTTGCCGCCCCCGAACAAGGACCCAAAGAACCCGCTATCCTTCTCCTTCTCGCGCTCGCCCTTCCCGGCCTTCTTGCTGCTCTTATCGCTGCCCCACTTGAAACGGCTGCCCTTCTTGTCCTTGTCCTTCTTGCCCGGGCTCGAGACGGAGGAAGGCGAAGTAGTCTCGGGTGCGGATGCTTGTCGCAGATGCGGCACGCTTTCCATAGACCCTTCGGGCGACGGTGTTCGGGAGGGTGTTTGTGATTCGTTCGGAGGGGACAGCATGCGCTGCGGCTGTGGCGAGTGGATGACTGGCTGTTGCGCCTGAATGGGTTGAGGCGAAGCGATGGGAATCGGGTTCTGAGGGGGAGGAAACTCGTGTACGAGTGGGAGGACGGGCGCGGGCGCCGACGGTGGAGACGTCGCGCGAATAGAGATCTCGTCTGACTCTACCGAAACGTCGTCCGAAGCGTAGGCTTCATAGATAGAGGTCACAAGCGAATGTGGGCGCTCATGTTCATCTTCAAATGATTTGGGACGTAGTGCGGGTGCTTCGTCCATGAAACTGCCGGCAGCGTGGGGAAGAGGCGGGCGATTGAACGCCTCTTCGCTGTGATCGTGATCGCTGGAGGAAATGTCGCTCGACGTCCTCTGCGCTTCCATTGCTGCGATACGGGCCGAGGCAGATGTTCTCCGACGGGCAGAGAACCTAGTGTTCCCCGTGCCCTCCACGCCGGGTTTTCGGATTTTCGTCCTGGCGGCACGCCGTAGAGGCTGCGGAGGGACGATGATGGGCGCGTCACCTTCATCGGCTAGGGGCAGATCATCCATCCTGTCGATAGCTGTGACATCGCGGTCGCGTGAGCGGAGGGACTACACCCAAAGACTGATGCACTGAACCTGAGGGTGCGACATTCATACTCATACTCCTCCGCAAGATGGACCGCAGCTTGGAGGGGTCATCGCTCTTCGAGGCCTCCTCCGCGAGCTCCTCCAATTTCTGAAGGTCGCTGATCGTAAGCTGCGGAACGGCGTTGGGGAAGGCGGTAGATCGGTTTCTCCGGAGGGGTTTGACGGACTCGTGCTCGACGCCGTCGTTCGCTGTCGGCCTGTACTGGTTTCGCAGCATAGACTTCTTGCGCCCCAGACTCGACGTGGACGAGCTCGAGGCGGTGCGCGAGAGCCCTAAGGTCGATCCATCGGCCGCGACACGGGTGTGCTCCTTGAGAAACGCGCTGAACTCCGAGGGAGCAATCTCGGGATGGAGGCGGGCGGGAACCCAGAAGAGGTTCGCGGGGTCGTCGTTGGTCGGGCTGAGGATCTGATCGCTGGCATCTTCGCTGGACGTGCCCTCCAGCTCGTCGCTCTCCGTCGAGCCGGCGGTCCAGTAGTTCCCATGAGACCCCGTGGCCGACTGCTCCGGGAGGTCGGGGTCGATCAAGAGCGCACCTGGGCCGCCTTGAGTGCTCGAGCGTCGCTTGATGTCCCGGAGATTTTCGACCTCGCGCTGAATCTCGTACTCGGAGGGGTTCATGGGTGGGCTGGTCACTGATCAGCACGAATCGTCGCCCGAGCCGCGCCGTACTGACCGCGCCGAGGTGGTGGAGATAGCGTGAGTGTCGGCGACGCCGTCCTGCACGTCGTGTTGGGCAGCGAGGAGCAGGTAACGGGGAATGGGGGCGCGAGCGGCTGAGGGGGCGCCGAAGGCGTCAGCCGCCTTTGGCTCTCTGGCTTGTGTCACACGGTCATCAGGGGTTTCGACCGCTATAGCGATGGGACGGGCGCCAACTTCGGTGAAACATATGATGACGCTGCTTGCTCAGGGGCCATATACGGCAAAGATGGTGCAAGAAAAGGTGAACGATCCGCACTAACATACAATCGTTGCGGCGAGATCTGAGAGTGTATACATGGCATGCACAGTTAGCGCACGACGGAAATAAGTCTCCAGCGGTATCACTGCTGATCGAGCGGCTCATAGTTTCGTGGATGCAGATGACAAGCTATTGGGCTTCGCTACTTGATACATTGTATGTTTCGTGCTCGATGAAATTCTGGTGAATGGCGACCGAGTGTCTTGACTGCTACGATGGCGGTTCGACGCGAGTATACTTGCAAGTCTCTCTTTAGCCGTTATAGGCGTACCTAAAAGGCATTTCAGCGTTGGAGCGGACCATTCAATGCGCGATTGCTTACCATCTTGACCGAGCGTTGACGGCCTCTGCCCGAACGGCCCGCTTGGGATCATCGAGCACCTTCGCCAGCTCGCGTAACACAAACGCTTTCTGAGGATGCAAGACGTCGTACCGCACGAGGTCCGGTAACATCGCGAGGTACCGAAGAGCAGCAGTACGAACACGCTAGCAAAGATTATCAGTGATCAGAGAAACGATCATGATGAAATGTACGCACCATAGACGGCATGCTCGATACCATGCTATTCTTGAGCATCACATTGACCAAAGTATTGGCATGCTCGCTGACGATGTGACCCTCTTTATCTCCACTCTTCCCCTTCTCGCCTTCAGCGGCCGCAAGAAGCGTCGTGATGACGTTGAAGCGGATTTCGAAGTCGGGAAGTTCAAGCCCGTGAAGCAGGAGGGGCATGAGCTGATCACACGATGAGTCCTGGTGTTCGCTTTTGGGTGGATCAACTGACCGTAGGCATCTCGGTGGTGTAGGTTGCCTTCGGTAGGGCGGTAATGAGCGAAGTCAGGGCCACGAGGTAGGTATTCTGCAATGTGGAGTCTGTGGACCTGGTCAAATGCGCGTTCGCGGCCGTACATGTGACGACTCGCCTTCGCCGGTCTTGGCGCCTTGCAAAACTCGAGGCAGCAGAGCATTACAGTACTTCTGTGCATATAGAATCTGGACGATATCATTACATATGAAGTCTGGTGTTCTGTGGCCGAAGGATGTTGCTCACCCTCGAAATCGCGTGATTCCGTTTCGTCAGGACATTTTCTGCAGTAGCCACGCGACCGACTGCCCTAGCCGCATCCCAGCCAAGGTCCTGGTCGTCGAAAAGCGAGAAGAGAACGTCGACCTGGACCATCGCATCCGAATGGTTACGGATCAGCAGGGCTCGCGTGATCTGATCGCAGTATAAGGATTGGAAAGATTCAATTGCTGCAAGGACTCACCCAAACCCATGCATCGATGGCTCGACGACGGGTAGCAACGGGAACCGATTTGTCCGCAATAAAGTGCTGCCAAAACTCGCTGCGTACTCTCGTCAACAAGGATTCCAGCCCTGAGCAGAACAGTTAGACAAAGTCAAGACAAGGAAGCGCCATCCTACTTTCGGTTTGTTTGTTGACTATAGATGCCAGCACATGCCATGCAGCGTCGCGCTGGAGTGCGTTTGTAGCTTGATCCATACCCCACTCGAGAACTGAGTACGCGGAAGGTTCGCTGGGGATAACAACCTAGACTGTGGATGAGATGCATGTATTCCCCACATGCAACATGAAGTATGTACCTCTTTTCGCAAGGCCTGTACGATAGAAGCGAATAGTGCTACTGTGTTCCTTTGAGCCTCGGAGGCCTCACTCTGTGATTCAGGCGTTAGTGATTGTCCTCAGAGACACCGCATTGTGTAGCCACATACGAGAAAAGGATGAAAACCCGCATCCTGAGGCATCTTGTGAATGCCGCTGGCGATGAGGGTGATCGGGCCAGATACGTAGGCTGTGAAGACCGCGTCAACCAGCGTTTGTTGCCGCCTGTAGCCCAGGTCGTTGCATTAACTTCATTGTGTCGGCATGATAGGATAGGTTGCTCACTCTATAGGAAGAGTCTGAACAATAGATGTCGTGATCTTGCCCGCCGTACCAATGAGCCTTGGATCTCGGGCTACGTCATAGCCGTCGGTCGTCAGCGATGCGAAGATGAAGAGGTTGAAGAGCTGAGGGATCAACTTGTCGACATATTTCAGTATGTCAGAGTCTCCTCGTTGTACTTTCGCGTCCAGGGTCGTGGAGAGCGTGTAAAGCAACGAATGTGCGTATGCCGCGCTGGCCTCGATATCCGCATCAGGACGCGTCGCGCACACCAGATCCAATTTTGCGAGAAGACGGATGATCATGGTCTCGAACAGTTCGGGTTCGAGACATAGCGACTTCAACGCGGCCAGGATCTCCCAGCACTTCGCACGTTCCTTGTCTGCAGCTCGCGGGGGCGCGACATCGGGGAGTGACGCAAAGAGAAGAGGAAGAGTCATTTCTTTGACATGTTTCGCGCTCGATTTCGAAATGGATGTCAGCAAATCTAGAATAGCGTCGCTGAGGAGACGTTAGAGATCGGCATGCCTTTATTATCGTCGCCTACCTGATCTGCTCGTCCGTTCTGAGATTTGCTTCGATCGTGTCGTTGACATTGTGGACGATATAGCGAAGCTCTTCATCAGTCGCAAGGTTCTCCGTAGTAGCGAGTATTTTCAGCCCCGTGATCGCGGGATCCTGCGAAGCGGAGTTTCCGAGCCCGACGATGAAGGCACCAAGTATCTCATCCTTGTACGAAACCAAGGATAGCTGCTGACCAGCGGATATAGTCTTGGCTGTGTCCAGAAATTGACAGAGAAGAGCCAGAACCTGGGGACGATTCGATATCTCGTCCGGATCATTGAAGGTTTTAAGCAGCTGGGGTGCAACTTGTACCAGAGTGTAATAAGATACAGATTCTGTAAGCAAGTAAGCGTGACGATGCATGAACATGAATGCATCGTTGCCTTACCCGTAGTCTTGAGAAGTGAGCACACGGTCTTCATGGCAGGTTTGGCTTGACTTTTCTCCGGCTCGCCTAAAAGTTTTAGACACTCCTGGCAGATATCCTTTGCGAGCCCTGTTACTGGAGCATCGACATCCATGTCCGACTCTCCAGTCGCCGGAGGTTGATAGAAAGTTTGGATGAGCGAGCGCATCGTCGCCAATGCTTCTTCCGCTGTTTGGTCATCGGTGGGTTGGAAGATCTGATGTGAGGTTGAGTATAAGGCCCTTTCGACGCCAAGAGGACACTACCTCGAGCCGTAAATGGTTCCATAGGTTTTTGGCTTCTTTCCGAGCCAAGGGCATGCCGTATATCGGAAGACATGTGGCGATGGTTTGCAATGTGTCTCTCTACAGCAGGAGAAGATTTCAGAAACACCCTTCATGAAGAATGAAACGATTTGCCTTCGTAATGGGGGAACCAGCCGCAAGCTTCTCAAGGAAGAGCGGTATGGCCAGGGGTCCAAACGCCGGATTTGCCTCTAAACACTTCCTAACGGACGTGCGGTCAGACACCGTGCTCGATTAAGTCTGTAATAGAATATCGATACCGGAGGGATTTCCTGAGATCATCCGCGGTGATACCATAAGGATCGTCAGGTGGAGGTCGGAAGGTGATCGGGAAGTAGCAAAATGTAATGTTGAAGAATTGCTGCTCGTGATGCTATGAGCATGGTATTGATGCCATGGTTCAGAGACTTTATCACCTCAAGGTGCCGGGTAATGTCGAATTCGATGGCGATGACTCGGTCAATGGCGAAGGCGACGGTCAGATTTCTTGGATCCTTCTCGCCCTCCGCGAGATATATATATCCTTCGATGAATTCGGCTCCCATTCCTTTTAGTGCTGCGCATGGACGTCATACACCGGACTTCTTGCACATCAACCTCATTTGTAAACGAAATACCTTCTCGATGACGAGATATCAGATTGTCAAGGATAGAAAAGACGTTGAACCTGACTGATTGTATCAAGGCCTTCATCTTGACATGTTGAAACAAGCTGTAGGAGACTTAGAAATAGGCCAAGAAGCTCTGCGACGAAATAGCTCACGCTTTGGCCACCTCAGCGGCATCCAGCCCAGTAAATGCAGAGTTTGCCGTCAATGTAACAAGTCCCTTAAGAGCCGGAATGACCGTTTCCGTGTCTTCCAATTTGCTGATATAGAAGGTCACCAAGACCTTCACTTCAAGTCCCGTATCAGATGCCGCCTGTAACTCGCGAGTTGGCGGCTCGCACCGGAGTTGCGGTTCAAGGTATCCGACGGAGATCTCTCCAGTACTCGGGAGAGGAACTCGACGCCTTGATTATGAGGTGAGGCAAATGGACTCCGACATGCCCATGAGTATGCGAACAAACCTTTGTTTCTTAGCTCATCGTCTTCCGAGGTGAGATACTCTCCGAGACTCTTGACCAGCTGCAGGAGCGTAGTTTGTTTGTGGGCGACGGCTACATGCCATCGTATCAATACTATTGAACATGCGCGGATCGTCGGATATGCTCACAGGCAATGACTTCATCCACTTGAGCCTCCTTGCCCGTGGCCATCCATGTCCTGACAGACCGTTCTATGTTTTCCATGGAGGGCAAGAGCGCCGCACCCCCTCGATGACAGATCAATACAAGGTCGTGCGGAGGATGCAGAGAGCAGATCTAACGAGGAGTATCCAGGAGAATGGAATTCAAGGTGAGCTCGAAGCCGACGCGGCTTTCTTTCTGGACGGTGTACTTTGTACGACATCACGCTAGCGCTCTTTGGTCCTGCACTTAACCAACACGACCTGCAGGCGCAGGACTCATCTTCTCGTCGCCTTTGAAGGTTCATGCTCTCGCGGGGCGCGTTGGTGGCCCGTGTCTCTCTCGCCTTCCACATTGCCAGACACTGCCGAGCCCGGGTAGCTGGATTCCGCACCTCCACAAATGCACTCCGAGACGGACGCGCTCAGGACAAGTTCAACTACAACCCGAACGTGTTCGAGCCGGTGACCAACCCCGAACATGTGAACTATCGGCGCGTTACCGCCAATGACCTCGAAAGCTCGCGCGAGCCGCCAACGGAAGTTCGCATGCTCGTCCGGGACTTCATCGAGGACTCGCTGTACAACCCGCACTACGGCTACTTCCCGAAACAAGCCCAGATATTTACCTATGCCGAGGATGCTTTCAACTTCGGCCCAATGAAGAACGCGGTGGAATTCCAACAAGAGGTCGCCCGGCGGTACGAGAGCTATGGCGCCGATGAGGACGGACCCGGGAGGCAGATATGGCATACTCCGACGGAGTTGTTCAAGGTCAGTATACGCGCTTGCAATTCCTCGTATGCTGTTGGCTTACCGACCTTAAAGCCATGGTATGGTCAAGCCATCGCACAATGTCTGGTGTCCGAATATTTGCTCAAGTACTTCCCGTACGAAGATTTCGTGATTTACGAGATTGGCGCTGGAAATGGCACGTTAGCTCTCAACATCCTTGACTTCATCCGCGACGAGTATCCGGAAGTCTATGACCGCACCCGGTACCACATCATAGAGATCAGCGGGAGTTTAGCCAAGATACAGGAGGAAAGACTTTGTGCCGTTCATCCGACAGTACAAATAGCCCACAAAAGCATCTTTCATTGGGACACGCGAGAACCGTCGCCATGTTTCTTCATAGCGATGGAAGTTGTCGTACGTGAAGCCCATATCTCTGTTACGCACGACTCTGAAATTTTGTTTAGGACAATTTTGCTCACGATATGATACGCTATGACCTCCGTACCCTAGAGCCTTACCAGGGCTTTGTCGCGATCGACGAAAACGGGGACTTTTCAACGCACTTCACCCGCGTCACCGACCCACTAATAACCTCCTTCATCCAACTACGAAGACGACTTTCGCATCCCCCTCCGATACCGCGTCTCCTCAAGGCATCCAAAACATTCCGTAACATTTACACCAACCTCCCGTTCGCGCCTAACCTGTCCGCGCCGGAGTACATCCCGACGCGGCTCCTGAGTCTGTTACTTACGCTGCGCGATCACTTCCCGCGACATCGCCTCCTCCTCTCGGACTTCTCGTCCTTGCCCGATACCACCCCCGGCGTCAACGCCCCGGTCGTACAGACGCGGTATCGGAACGAAACCGTCCCATGTGGAACCGTCCTCGTCAAGCAGGGTTACTTCGACATCTTCTTCCCTACCAACTTCGAGCACCTCCGGGACATGTACGAACATATCCTGTCCGAACCGCGTGAACCGAAAACTCCAGACGCGGACCTACCGATCCCTCGGTTGTCTCCTCTTAGCAGCAGCATGACGCCGTTATCGGTCGGCTCCGACTTCTTCTCGTCCTATCACCCCCACAACAGGCGCACGCCCGTCGACGGCATCGTGAGCGCGAGCGGCCTCCCGATCGGCGAGCGTAAATCCAGCGTGTTCACGCACGCCGAGTTCATGGAGACGTACGCGGACCTGTCCAAGACCCGGTTGCACAACGGCGAGAATCCGCTCCTTGACTTCTACCAGAACGTCAAGTTCCTGTTCTAGAGGCAGGTACCTCCGTGGGCGCTACTGCACCACCCCTCGCCACGATGCTATGCCTTTCGTACGATGTACAGGTAATAATGGAAGGCATCGCCGATCTGCCGAATCTCAAGCGTCGTGCCCGGACGGTTGAGGTATCTCCGACGGAAATGGGGCTGCCCGAAGGTTAGGTAGAGGAAGACGCCACCAGGACGAAGGACCCTGCAGCCGGTATCACGTTAGCCCGCTATGTCGCGTGAACTGGCTGCACCTACCTCAAGACTTCGTCCACCTCTGCGTTGCAGTCGCTGACCACTTGCTCCGGGGGGTCCTAATGGGAACGAGAGCGTTCAGTCGCGTGGGATGCATGGAAAGCTGTGGATAACATACCCATACGTCTCCTTTCGAAGTCATCATGGCGTCCATCGTGCCTAGATACCGCCGGTCACGTTTTGGATGTTATGCGAGCATCCCTATATCAGACATACCTTTATCTATAGCTATATCAAAACTGGCGTCGGGGAACTCCAGGTGTCGCACATCCATCACATGCCCTGCAATCGGAATTCAGTCGCTTGAGGGGGAGGGGCTTCGTGTCAGCACATACACTCCATCTCGGGCCGTTGAAGCTCGTGTTGACGTTTCATCCGCTCAATCAGCACTGGAGAATACTTATACAGAGTGAGACCGACGATCGCCGATTCGATGGGCAACGCTCACGTCAACGTTCACGATGTTCTTGTATTCATCGTCCCACATCTATCGTCAGCGTAAGGAAATGCAACTATCTCAGCAAGGCATGTCTTGAGTCACCTCCTCGGATAACTTGCTGTTGCCGCATCCTAGCATGAGGATGCGATGTTCATGACGTATTAGGTCCTTAATCATAGGCGCAATATCCACATAAGTCTTGAACCAGTCAAAGGATGCTCCATCCTGCTCCCTGAAGCCGAAGAGAATGAACGCTACGCGTGGTCGCGTTCAAGATCGGAGGAGTCTTACTGCTCATATCTGCGATCCCTGTATCCATGAGCCTAAAATACACCGATGTCCATTTGAGCATAGCAGACCAGTAATCTTTGGTGCCGTACTCCTCGTTTTTGTCAGGAAGGATATCGAGGCTCATCGTCGTCGATCTTCAAAAGAAAATAGGGGCTCCCGGCTGGGCGGGCTCCGGACCGGGCCAGATGACAGGCCGGTTTCCACGTTACCCCGGATTTCAATCGAAAGCGCACACGCAGGATCCTTCGCTTACCTCTTACTCCCTCCCGCAACACACCCCCCAGCGCGCCTGCTACCTACTCAACGTCCCAAACACAATGGTTACTCAAGGCATCTTTACTGTGCTTGCTATGCGCTGACGCGTGTTTGCCAGTCTGCGTATCCGTCTTATACTATGGGGGGGCTCTGCCTTTTCGGCGGTCTCAGCGGCTTCGCGCGCAGGCGTTCTATCCCCTCTCTTGTAGCCGGCGTGGGGTATGGATGCTCTCGTCGTCGGACTCGGCTCTCATTGTGCTGACCCCTTATTACCAGTGTGGGCGCTTTGTACCTCTGGAGTGCGGAAACCATTCGAAAAGGAGAGTCAAACGGCCTCGAGGGTGCCCTGGGTGCGTTCAACGGCTTTACTCCCGTATACGTAACTAGAATCTACGGTATTGACCGTCTCGCAGGTGCCTCGGCGCTTCTGCTGCTATCATCCCTCCCTCGTGTTGCAAAGGGGCCCGTCCCCGCCGTGCTTGCAGTCACTTCGGCGCTTTCCTCGGTGTACTACGGCAACCTTGTGTACAAGACTCGTGCATGAACATGCCCCTCTGAGTAGTTGGCCTGCTTTCGTTCCACTGTTGGGACGGTGTAAAACTATCGGGTTTCCTTGCTGTAATTCATATGATTGTGCTTTGCGCGACGTATTACCGGACCTTGCCCCCCGTGAGAACAGCTCGTGGCCCACCGCAGCCAGGCTGTTTACGAGCCTGGCAAAGCTGCCATGTGCCGTCAGGGTCGGGGCCGCCGGTGCTGCATCCTAAGTTACTATCTGATATCCTAGGCCTTGGTTGAATGCCGGATGGACGACCTGCGAACGATTTCACTCATGTGTCGCGGCTCCATACGTGCTCGACGGGCACTCCGATTTCTGGGAACGTACTTACTTACACTTTTGTCATGTCGCGCGTTCAGGTTGAGCCGCGCTTGGCCGAGGGGCATCTCCACCACCTCGTCCGACCTTTGCCGGCGGGACGATCGCTGAGTCAGAAAAAAGTGGGTATGGCGCGAACATTTCTCTGTTTCAACCAATCGGCATTCGTACGGGAAGTTGTCCTCTGCGGCGATGGTCCATCGTACCAACTGAAGTCGCCATCGGGCTCTTCACGGTTCTGTTATATACTCTCGACGTCTCTGCTTGCAGGAGCTCCAGGCAATCCCCTTGGAACGTATTCCTCATCATCTCTAATTTGTGCGTCCCAAAGAAGCTTCAAGCATGCGCCCTCTTACGTTTCTTGCCATGTAGTCTGGCTTCAAGAGTCCACGAGTCACAGCAAGGAACTCCGTCGGATCGGTTGGCCAGATTGAAGTCGTACGAGTTGCCGTCATCAAGCGCCCTAGATTTCTACCGGCTTAAGAGAGAGGGCGTCATAACAAGCTCGAGTATAAAAGCATCCCCGAGGAAGAAGGAGTAAACGTCTGCCTCCGACCCCGAACGGACCATGCCAGTCAACAAAGTCGCTGAGAATGTTTTTGGTATCATCGGTAAGCTTGAGTGGATAGGACTTCGAAACGAATGCATATTGACCATACTCTGGTAGGCACTATATGCTGGACGGTACTCTGTCTTGCCCTATCAGCGGGGATTCTTCTGACTGTTCTGTATCATTCAGGTTCAGCTTGTGCCGCAACTGATTAAGAGTTACCGAGAGGTGAATTATCCATTCCCTGAGCAATTTCGCGTGTTCTGAATTCGTTTCCGCCAGAAATCGGTGGAGGGCCTATCCTCAATATTGGTGTACGAAAACATGCAACTAAACAGCTGATCATCGTAATCCTCACCGTATCATTTTCAGATTTATGTGGGGTGTCGCAGGCATCCCACTTGGCATCTATGCCATCGTCCAAAACTTGAACATCCCCTTGATTGTTCAGCCTCAACTGTTCATGGTGTTGTGTCTGGCATCATGGGCTCAGGTACGTCTTATGCCACCGTTTTTTATGCACACTGTCCTCATGTCATTTCCTCGACAGTGCCTGTACTATGGCCAGGGCCGGTCCAAGCGCACCTCGATCATCATGTGGCTTGGTACATGTATTTTTGCTGGGGCATTCGAGGCTGGCATGGTTTTCGCCATCCGGGTAAGCTCGGTTGATTGGGAAAAGGTCGAGGCGCGCATTCTGATATTTCGTCTGCAGCCAGTGTACAATCATGGGCACGGGAATGATGCGCCTGTCAAGGTTTTTGGCATTCTCGCTGCGATCATGATATCTTCCGCGCTCCTGTACGACTGCAACTCTATCCGCACCAGGACCAGCTGTCTCATTTCTGGCGCAGTCCACAGTACTGGGAAATATACAAGCACGGCGAGGTCATCGGGATATCGATCATCTTCATGACCGTGGACATGCTAGGCGGCGTATTCAACCTGCTTTCGCTGGTGTTCAAGACCAAATTGGACACCCTGGCGGCGATCTCATATTCGCTCGTTGTAGTGAGCATGCCTCAACCCCACATATATCCGACGTTGAACCTTCGACGACGTACAGGCGCTCGATGGTCTCGTCATCCTACTATATTTCATCCTGAACCCGTTGGCTCGTCGGAGACGGCGGCGCCTGGCTCAACGGCAGCCGCCTGACGATACCACCCCAGACCTTGACGGTGGAGCGTCCACCTCTAGAGATGCGGAAGACAATCTCCCCCTCAGCGACGCGCCGACGCGAGTCCCATCACGGCAGAGCCACGTCGACAAGGCGCCCAATCCATCAGACGAGCGAAGCCTCGAGAAAGTCGGATAACGGGACAGAAGATGAAAAAAAAAACGAGCCCGTATTCCGATTTCCGAGGTGGTATGACATTACGAAGATGCTGTATAGTGTGTGCAATGTGCAGAAAAGACCCTCCGAAAACGCCCCGGTCATCGTGCGCCCGGTACCGGCGCCATCCACGCCCGCGCCGTCCGACTCCGGTCGTGGCCAGCGCCCACTCCCGCCGGCGGCTCATCTTCCGACGAGCTCTTGCTCGTACTCCCCTCCGCGCTCGCTAGCCGCGAGTGCCTATCCGCCTCGTCCTCGTCGAACAGCACCTCGTCCACTGCGTCGTCTCCGAGCGACTTCGAGCTCGGATTGCGCGACGCTTGCTTCTGCAGACGCCCGGACGTTGTGCTCAAGTCGCCGAAGTTGCTGATGGAGTTGCCCGCGGGCGTGCGGGTGGGGACGCGGTAGAATTCCTCGATCTCGACGTCCTCTTCGTCGTCACCGAGGGCGGCGTATACGCCGGTTGTGGCAGGATTGGGTCGCGAGTGTGGGAGGGAACGATACGAGCCTCGTCGCAGATGCATCGCGTAGGAGTAGATTAGCAGTGCGAAGTAAAACTGATACCGAGGTTATCAGCAAATCGCCCCAGTGTGTAGCTGCACGAACGTACCTTGGATAACCAGCCAATGGTGATCAGCGCGGCTGCAGAGCCCTTCTCCTGGTTCCATATCATCCGAGCGGCAGTTTCGCGTTCCACATCCGACATCGGAGGCCGGTTGTTCATGCCGCCATTCATGATCTCCTCCTGTGCCGCCGAGCTCGCTTGCCTTCGTCCATCGTGTGGCGTATATACCCAATATGTAACAGCGAAGAAGACCGTCCACATTGTGGAGAGGACGTGGTCGGCGAAGAACATGTGGGCGAAGTACAGCGAACGCTTAGCATCCTCCTACAACGGTATTGACGTCAGATGACTGATGTTGAGCCGAGCGCGATATACCCGCACCTCCGTTACCGCCCTGAGACCCCACGCAAGGACGACGAGCCCGAAGACCGAGTACACGTAGAGGCTTATTTGGGCGAACGAGCCGCCGGCTCCGGTCAAGGCCGCAATAAGACCATAAACGCCCGCAACCTTGTTGAGCAACTGGAAAGAAAAATCTTCAGCTTCAAAACGTAGGCATGGAACTTGGTGCTCACGGCAAACAGTAAGGCTACAGTGACGCCGATCTTCAAGTCAAGGCAGCCAAGAAACGACGAGGCCGGCCGCGGCTTCCATTCGGGGCGCAACATCAACTTCATGAGGTGCAAGTGCTAAAGCACAGGCACAGAGCGTTCTTTCAAGAGTCTCGTACAGCCAGCTAAGTCGGGATAACCGCGATAGGACACGAAAAACAGGGTGGTGGTGGTTGGGTCGAAGTTTTGGTCAGCCTGAGGCTTCGTGAAGAGAGGCACGGGTTGGCGCGTTGCTGCGCGTTGGCACCGACTTCGTCGGCGTCTTCATCCACTCACGACGTCCACTCGGGGCTCCGTTCTGTTCATACTGCGGCTCGCAGGCCGTAGCTGCCCTCAGAGGATCCAACACAAGCTAGCATGGCGACAATAGCGCCTTCACGCCTCGCGGCGCTCACCCGCCTGCGATGCAGCATCTTCCAAACATCATACAACCCCACATCCGCCCGCACCGGCGCGAAATACCTTCGGCGACGCCTCATCGGGCCTGCTCTCCTCAAATATTACCCGGAGGAACTCGATATTCCCCAGGCATTGCGGGAGTTCCGCGAACTTAAAGTTATGAACGAGGCAGAGGAACAGAGGCTTATGGACGTCGAGGACCGGAAAGCAAGGGGAAAGGGCGCACCGAAGAAAGTCAGCAGCAAGGGTAGGTTGCCCATCCTGTCTGCGTTGTTCTTTTCTGAATTCTGCTCCGCAGAGGACAGTCGACGCGCGAAAAGGAGAAAATAGACAAATATACGTTCAGCAATCGGCATCTGCTCTTAATACTCCAGCTGGGCCGCTGTTCAGTATCACGATATATCTTAATCACAGTTGCAAGCAACGCGGTTTCCTCCTACAGATGGATACAGTGAACACAATTTCAGTGCCAGCAGACTGACGCGCATGCAATCACATTCGTCGCGCAGTCTTGCAATGCTACATAGGTGATTCGTGAACACCAGCGACGCACATATTCGCTGCCCTAAGCGGCTCAAGTAACCACTTCAGAGGTTGGTGGTCCACTTTGCTTATCATGATAGGGGGGTACGGTCACTGGAAGGTGCCGGCCGGAAGGTTGACCGGTCTTGCATGGAGTCTAACCGGGAGATCAACATGCAATACGCAGGCGACGAATGCGGTATCAAGCTAACCATTGTTCGATTTGTACTCGATGATCGTGGAGGCGGGAAGGTTTAGTACTCTTCGCATGGTCTCCCTGTGATGCCATGACATGAGCGAGGCCCGCAGGCAGGTGGATAGTTGGGGAACATACCTGATCTTCTCTTTGACCTCGGGCTTCTCCTGGCGGTTCCACAGCTGCACAACGTCCTCGCTCTGCCTCACGCTAATCGTGCAGCCACATATCTCCGGTCCATCCTTATCCAGGCTGTCCGCGTCGGCGAACTGGTCGCCAATGATCGCTAGGACCAAATCCTCCCAGATACGGTCCGCCACCCCCTTCTTAAGACGAAGGATCCATTTCCCGCCCGAGATGTTGACGGGATCTTCCCATACCGGTCGGCGTACGCCCGAGTGGAAGAGGAGGTAGTCCGTCGTCGGCTGGAGAGCCGACGGAGGATTGACGTGTGTCCAGAGGGACCAGAAGGATTCGACCTATGCCATCCAAGTTGAGAACGGAGTGCGACGACGGTGGGGGTGCGGCTCACAGAGCTGAATGCCGCGACCTTCTTGATACCCTCCTCATAGTTGAGTGTCTTGTTTCCAGGAGCACGTTGTTGGCGGAACCAAAAAACCCAGCTGCGGGAACAGGGCTTCAGATGCGCGAAGAAGACCCAAACCGGGCGATTGCACGAACATACGTGTTTTTCAGAGGGTGTACACCTGTAGGCGTCCCATTACCGGAACGGCTTTTGTCTCTCGTCAACGTCTTGTCGTCGCCGGAGGACGATACGGATGTCGAGAAGCGGCCTGAGGAGGGTATCCTTGTTGGTTTACCGGGCGCAGCCACTGCAGTCGTGGTCGATGACGGCGCGTTCGTAGCATTCGCGCTCGGGAAACGCGATTGGGATTGTGAGTGGTTGGAAAAGTAACCGGCCATGTGATGCAGTAGTTGACAGGGGTGATAGTTGCAATAATGAGCAATAAGTGAGAATGTGGATGCGGAGCCGTGGTACAACGAGGGAGGGGAAAACGAGATTATACGAGGGTTTGAGCCGCGGCACGCACTTGCCACCTCTTGCCACTTCCGCGTTGACGAGCTTGTGCTGTATACCCCGCACTACTGTCTCGCTATCTACAGATTGAGTGGACTCGTACGACGTGCAAACCTGTTTCCTGAGCTCATGCTACCCAGCTCAAAGTTGCATTCAAGCAGCGTTCACCGACATGACATGCATCCTCAACGACACCACCTTGCAAACCTTTCTTCTCTTGCTCATGGAGCAGCTCCGACTGTGCCGTGCTTCGCGCTTATTCTTAGGTATGGATCCATCCGAACGACGCTTCGATATCGGCTTGTTGGAATCGTGGAAGAAGAGCGTGTTCGGATCCGGCCATATGAGAAACTGAGCAAGCTGTCTTCCTGTTTCCAAGACTCACCCGGTTTTCCATCTTGGGATAAAGGCATTCACTGCGTGTGTTCACATGGACGTCGGCCTTAACAAAGTTCCGTCCATGCCGTCCATGAGGCAGCGAACATGGGATCGTGCCGTTCTGATACCGATGAGAAAGTTTGACATAGGCGCCCGTGTCTCCACCGGACAGTGGCGTATCACACGTTGCGCGCAGATTAAGTATGCTTTGAAACAAGAATCATGAAGAATCGGATACATCCATGAGGCGTCGTTCTAATGCGCAGACATCGGGGGAAGCACGGCGAAAATAGTGTGTTTTTACTTTCTAGTCTGGTAGCTCCTTTCTCCAGCTGATCCAGAGTCTCAAGATTGCCCGTGGAGACGCATATATATAGCGACGGCCATAGCTCACGGTGGATTGGACAGTGGTGCCGGTCTCTCGCCGAGCGCTCTGTAATCGCACGAAAGAAATAGGATTGAATATCTAGACTTTCCCAGAACCCGACTCCAGCCAATCAAGGTTTATATAACACAAGACTGCTCCACAGTTGATCCCAGAATCCAACGCGGTACTAGGTGCGTTATGCGGTCCAACCTCGAAATGTCGTGAACATGTGGCATCTTGCTTTCCCGCAGGACGCCACCTGGCGCTTATGGGGCTATTCTGGGTGGTACGTAGGATGCAACTTACTTTACATCCACGTCTGAAACGTAATCAAGGACATGCGAAAGGTCTGCAGCTATAAGGACACCTGCTTTCATCTCCCGTCCATCGCACTGTTCCGACAATCGTACCTCTTGATGTTCGGGCGCATCTCACCGCCGTCATCTAGCCAGGAGCCACCCATGGCGCCCGTAGAGTCTGAAGACTCTACGAAGATGAATGGTTTCGCGTTACTCGGCGCCTTTCCCCCTCCACCAACACAACCCGTCAACGTAACGGACCGCCATTTTAACGGGATCATTCGTAGTGTCCTACTCTCCTCTGGCGAAAGTAAGCACATGTCATCCATCTCATTCCCTCCCCTCTGAGATAGAATATGATCTACCCCGTAGGCGCTACAACGACCTGGGGGTTTCCAGAAATATCAGCTCAGGGTGAGTGTTACACCGCTTCAATCAGGGTATACTGCAACAATCGGCTGTTAGTCTCAGGCAGAGAACGGGTCGATGCAAAGAGGGTCGACTCCTTCAAGCAGTTTCAGAAGTAAGCTCTGTGCCAACGCAAAGTGCTCGATCTCAACTTGATTGTCTGATTCTTTGCAGGAGTGTTACTCTGCTCAGAGAACAGGTGCGCGTTGGGATCTCTGCTTGTATAGCACATACTAACATGGTATATCAGCTCTCAATGATGGCACGGGATATTCGCTCGATTTGCCGGCATCACGAGGTGATTCATTCAGTCATAAGGCTTGACAAGGCCCTGGAAATTCTTCACTTCCTCGTCTACGAAAACGCCGCAGCCTTGTATCCGCAGGATGGAAAGATTCAGTTCCAAGACGGGCGCCAGGAATACTATGGGTACAAGCTCAATGGCCATCATTTCGAACAACCTGGCGCGAGTTCAGAATATTTCACCACGCAACTGAAAAAAGTGCTCGTGTCACTTCGCACCTTCTACAATTGCCTCATGGCGGTGCCGGATTTCAGGCGACATGCAGGGGAAGGGTCGTTGACGGCGTTCGAAGAAGACCTCGAGGTAAGTCTGCTTGCTTGAAGGGGCTATGTCCTACCCTGATTCTAGTATGCAGTTTTGGTTCCTGCACTGCAGTGATTTCCCACGAGGTGGGTATTTTGTGTAGTTAAAGCATATTTCGATGACAATTTCCAACCTCCAGCGAGATTCCGAGAACATACTATTCGGTTGTTCATGCTCGAGCTCTCGAAACATATCAAACACGATATGGATGGCATGTGTGAAGTGATTACGTCACTCAGGAAGGAAGGTATGGCGGATATCACGTATTGGTATCGAACGAAACATGCTTATGTCGCATTCAAAGCAATCACTGTCTTAAAGAGGGAACAACAAGAGAGATCTTCTCGTTACACGTACTTGACAGCGGTAGCCACCTTGCTTAGCGGCGTGACTGGTAGGTGTATCGTCTGCCTCTCTCAAACAATTCCGCTTCATGGTCTTAAATAGCCACAATGCTGCAGTTTCAAGGTGGCACAAGCAAGTCAGCGGCCGATGCCAACGCAACATTCGCGGCGTTCTGGTATCTTTCCCTAGTGCTGAGCATTGCCTGCGCCGTAAACAGTCTCGCAGGGTACGCATGGATCGAGACCAAATTGTGAGCGGCCTTTCTAATATACTACCTCCCTCGCATCGTCAAATCTGACCTTCCCGAACCTTTCAGTCTTGATGAAATCCCACACATCCTCCGTGTTTGGCTACATCACTCCCCCATGCTCACCCTAGTTCCCTCGATGCTGTGTTTTGCTGTCGCCATAATGGTATATGTATATGCATCAGATCAGGTACACATCTTTAGTATCGGCTGCCCCAGTATCTGACACTGCCTTTCTTAGAATAAGGTTACTTCGGCTATCACGACTGCCGCTACAATCGCCAGTGGTTTAGGCTTGATAATCGCTCTGACTTGGCTTCTCCCAGGACATATTCAATCGGAGTCACAGGGCGACGTCGAGAAGCCAAATTCGAAGCAAGAAGAATTGAGAGCGCTACAGCGACCCTCTCAGGGCGAGTCGCACCCTACCGTGCACGAGTTGCGGGCGGATGATACACACACTCGACTCCCTTGGCTATGCTCGTTGCTTCAGAACGTATCCGGTGGTATACAGAAGAAGAGTAGCTCGGCGATTCAATATCAGAGCATCGAAGGCGCGCCACTCACGTGTGTATCAAGGGGAAAAACTGAATACAGCTTCAGGTTCAGACACATCGGGGCTAAAGTTGGTTTCTCTCCTGAAAAGGGAAGGTAAGTGCCGAATCTAGTGAATCAGCGAAGATGTCCTCAACCTGAGTTATCGCACGAAGCTGGAAAAATGCGACACGGCAATGGAAAAGGGAATGAACATCGACAACCGGAGGGTAGCAGCAACAGGTCTGAGGCAAACGAGCGTGTTGTCTCGCGTCCGCTCCTCGAGCGGACATGGACTTCGCTGGGTAGTATCTTGAAGATGACAACCTCTCCTGACCTCGAAAGAGGTACAGACTTACAAACTCTGGGTGTAAGAGAAGCCACCGGGGGGGAGTCAGTTCCACCGAATAACACTCGATCCGACACGGAATCCTGCAGGCAACGCTTGCAAGATGTCCCTGAAACTGGTGAGCTCGTAGACGTTGGGGAGCTATCAGCTCCGTACGACAAGCTTTCAAGGTGACTGAACTGGATCGTGCTTAGCGACGGAGAGAATGTGGGAGACTTTTGAACAAAGAACCTCGCCGTCATGGCTTGCTGCCATCCACAAGAAGGACGGTGTCAAAGTGCACCATCTCACGGTTTTACTCGTTTATTCCATAATGCGCACTCCTTTGTGCATGTTCCTGAACCTGGCAGAGGAAGGATTCGTTGACGAAAGTTCGACGCGTCGCGCTGCGGTTGGTCAAGCAACTGCGGATCCTGATGTTCATCAGGCAACCGCGAAAGTGCTTGTCGAGCACCAGGGGCAATCGGTGATAGCTTTGTGTCTGTCGAGAAGCAAGAATATACTTGTCACCGCAGGGTATGTCATACATCGAACTACCGTATCTTCGCATGCTCACCAGACATCGGCAGGTGGGATCGAACCTTGAGAGTACTCAAAGTTCCAGTGACCGACTCCTCGACAGGAGAGCAGATACGTTACACCAAGAAGGCCGAAGAGCCAGAACCATTGCCGCTGCAACTCTTATCGTGAGCATATCTCGTCTACATCTTCAATTCAGCCAGACCGCCGTTTTGACATGTTCCTTCCTGACCAGGATGTTCTCTGGGGACTTCTTTCTTGAAAGAACCACGAAAGGGATCTGGATTCGAGATGGGGAAAGACTTGAGAAAACTAACTTCAACCTGGTTAACGAACTTCCAGATCAGATCCGTGTTCGAAATTCACCGGGAGTCTACGGCACCTTCACCACTAGCATCCTTGTCGAAGACCATAAGGGTAAACCTCAGCGTGCTGCGGATGGTAAAGAACTTCTACGCGAACGTGTGAGCAATTGCTTGGCACGATCCCGCGTCAAGGACACTTTCTGGTCTGCGGAGGGTGCACAGCTCATCAGATTTGTGAGTGCGAGAACGTCCCTCTTGAAGCAAACATGCGCTGAAATGACTCGAAGTCGATTTGTAAGTCAACCGCGGTATGTAGTGATCAGTCGGCACCGCATGTTATCATTGAGTTTGTTTTCCTAGTCCGATGCCGCCAATTCCTCTTTGCCACAGATATCAATCGAGCGAGAAATGACCCCCAACAAACGTTTTTGTCTACGGGTCGCAGCTCATGTCCCTGAAACATCCTACCTCATCCTCTCGGCGGTGTATCTTTCTAGGGACTCGAGGCCCAGAATTGGACGCGAGCAGCACAACGAATTAATATGTATGTATTGAGAATTAACTCAGCAGCTATCCTCTGCAAGCAGGACCGTAATTCTGATCAGTGATCGGCAGTACTTCATGAGGACGCGGACCCGGAGCATGATAAGGACGCAATAATGCACCGACAACCTTTGCTGCATGAAATTAGCCACATCGTGGCGAGCAATAGTCAAGGATACTATGCATTGGTGTCTTACGGAAGAAAAGTAGGTTGTCGATAACTAATAGTTTGCGCTTCCATGATCATGACACCGTATACAGAGTCCAAGGCTGTGGAAAATCGAGGAGCCGGACGGATACCGATTTCAGAAACCGAGGCTCCGATTGCTCCACGCGTTCTTTACATCTCTGTCAGTCGAGTTTTCTGGCCCAAGCTGTTTCGCCGGCCCCCAGGATCAAATAGTTCTACGAGGCACGAGAAGTTCGTCATATCTTGGTTGCCTCAAGTTGCTTCTATTCACCTGACGGTCTACCTATTCAGCTGGTACAGTTCACGTATGGATGCGCAAATCTGCAGAACACAAGGGGGAGTTCGCAGTGTTTGGGGGGTCAACTGGCTCGCTGCGCTCGCCGGTCATCACACTAAGATGCCTCAGCGAGCATACCGACCATACTCCGGGCGAAGAGATCACTCTGGACGTACTCGTCGGCTCTGACGATGGCAGAGTCGGCTTCAGCAAGATTCGTTTCCGTTTCTGAAATGAAAGACCAACATGAGCTTCCGGTGACCTCGCCTGGAAGTAGTATGGGACCATCTCCGCAAGCAACAGAGGAGTTGCGGTCCTCCGCGGACATTATCAATGTTCATGGTCCATAACGGCGGCTGGGTAGACGTAACCTTGGTGAAATCGGGTGGAGGTCACTCTCGACGTGAGTAACCAGACAAAGCTCCCCCTTTGTATAGTATGCTGCGGCAGCATGACTGGCTCTGGCGTACGAGGTGTTCCGTAATCCAGATGCATTGTGTGTACTATGTGGAGTTCAGTCAATCGATGGCTGCAGAACTGCCGCTTGTAGGGAATCGAAGTCGTGGGCGGAATATGAAGCCGTGTCGAAGCCACGGGGCGCGTGCCGCGGTGTACCGGGCTCATCATGCAAAGAGCCCCTGGTGTACTTTTTAGCGTGATGGATAACCATGGATGAGGTAGGTGGACACGGACAATACTGGCGATGTCGACGTCAAGGGAGGCGTAGGTAATAGGGGGCTGCGACCGAGTCACTGAATTGCGCGTCGCGGTCCGCGAGTTCTCGACTGATTCAGATGCTGTTGTATCGCTCACTTCACCACAATCGTTTCACCGGGTCAACTCAACCACTAACAAAACTATTCGTTGAGAGAGGACCAGTGTGACATTCTACAGTCTGGACTAATAAAGACGCGTATAAACCGCGAATGGGACATCTGATCACTCTTGCAACGTATGCTTGACATTCATCATCGGACGCACGTATGATACCAGCTTCACGTTTAGGTGGTTAGTGGAGCGTCTTCGCCTGCAACGGGACATTGGTAGCTGATTGAGGGCCACTAATGTCCATTAGCTCTCTCAATCAATGGGCACTCGATTTCGACGTGAGCGCGACGGATGCGCTAGGCGTGTCGTGATGAGATGCTTACGACTTCGATAGGGCAACCTGAAGCGTATCCTGGAGAGCATCAGGATAGCCAAGGAACGAGGTGCAACACTTCGCGTCGGGCCCGAACTTGAGATTCCGTACGCCGCCGGATGATTGTCACGAAGGCAGGATTCTGAACGCTATGCCTTGCAGAGGCTATGGCTGTCTCGATCATTTCTTGGAGGGTGATACTCATCTGCACTCCTGGGAGGTTCTTGCGCAGATCCTGGAGGGCGGCGCAGCTCAGGGGATTGTCTGCGATATCGGCATGTGCGTTCTCTTCTCCTTTGCATGGATGTATGTTGATCAGATAGCTCAGGCCCGTCGTCCACAAAAATGTGATTTACAATTGCCGTGTGATTATTCACGATAGGCGCATCCTCCTCATTCGCCCGAAAATGTGGCTGGCGAATGATGGTAATTATCGAGAACTTCGGTGCATACTGTGGTTCTGGTCTGCTCTATCCAACATGAACTGATATACCTCTATCAGATATTTCACGCCATGGCAGAAGCATCGTCAAACCGAAGACCACTATCTACCTCGCATGCTCCAGAAAGTCACCGGTCAGGTGTGTCATGATTCAATATAATGCGATGTGAACGTAATCAACGTCTGCGCCGAACAGATCAAAGTTCCTTTTGGCGATGCAGTCGTCAGCACTACAGACACTTGCATCGGTGTCGAGCTTTGCGAAGAACTGTTCACCCCAGCCAGGTTTGCTCGTCTTCGTGCCTTATCGCCGATCAGTTTTTGATGCCTTCTAGCCCTCATATCCTTATGGGCCTCGATGGAGTTGAGATCTTCACGAATTCTTCTGGTAGCCATCATGAGCTTCGCAAGCTCCACACGAGGGTTGAACTCATTAAGGAAGCTACGCAAAAGGTCAGCTTGGTGGTCCAGACGGTCTGGTGGATGGTGCTGATCCGCCCTGAATATTCTTCAGCTTGGAGGTGTCTACCTATACGCTAATCAACAGGGTTGTGACGGAGATCGCTTATACTACGATGGATGCGCTATGATTGCGGTCAACGGCGTAATCGTCGCGCAAGGCTCTCAATTCTCCCTCAATGAGGTAAGCACCGATTATCGTAAACCCTTGCTATGTAAGTCAATGATCCCTATAGGTTGAAGTTGTAACGGCTACCGTCGACGTCGAAGACGTTCGCTCTCATAGGGCAGGGAAGAATAGCCGGTGAGTCGCAGCTGACTGATCCATGAGCCAGCTCCTAGAAGGTCGATCGTATGTTGTACGCATTCACAGCTCCATGCAAGCAGCTGGTGCAGAGCGTTACCAACGCATCGAGGTGGATTTCCCATTAAGCTCTGCTGAGAAGGTGGACGCCGATCTGGTAAATTGTTCCCTCTTGTCTGTGCAGCGTACGATGCTACAGGAACCCCATTCAGATTGGCGAAGTGCATGTCGAGGAGACGGACAAGGGAGCTCTTGGCCTCGGCTTTGAGCTGCAATATCATAGGCCTGAGGAAGAGATCGCGTAAGTAGTGATCTCTGCACTCCCCAAACTCACCTGAACAATGCACCTTAGGCTTGGACCAGCATGTTGGCTTTGGGACTACCTTCGACGATCGCGTACCCAGGGCTACTTCGTTCCACTCAGCGGGGGCATTGACAGCTGTGCGACAGCCACGATTGTTTATTCCATGTGCCGGCTGGTAGCAGAAGCTGCATCTCGCGGAGGTGATGTGTGTTTCCCCCCTTTCAAGATCTTGTTGGCTGACGGGACGCGCTTGCCGCAGACGAAAATGTCATTGCAGACGCGCGCCGCATGACGGGAGAGCCGGCCGAATCTACCTACGTCCCTACAGACCCTCGCGAGTTTTGCAACAGGATATTTCACACATGTTATATGGGCACCGAAAACTCCAGCACGGAAACAAGGGGCAGGGCGAAAGAGCTTGCGGACGCTATCGGAAGGCAAGTATTCTACGCCACCGACACGATTGCAAGACGACTGAAGCGTGACATAGTTATCATGTGGATCTCAATATGGACACGGTGGTGACCTCCGTACGCGACCTGTTCGGCTTCGTGACTGGCCTGCGTCCGAAGTTCAAGGTCCACGGGGGATCCGAGGCGGAGAATTTCGCGCTGCAGAACATCCAAGCGAGGCTGCGTATGGTATTGGCATATATGTTCGCTCAGCTACTTCCTTGGGTTCGAGGGAAGTACGGCGGTCTGCTGGTGTTGGGCAGTGCCAACGTTGATGAGAGGTAAGGATAGCAACTCTCACGACAACAGTGTCAATTTTCAGTTTTCATCCTTCAAACAGTCTGCGAGGATACCTCACCAAATATGATTGTTCATCGGGTACGTCGTGATGTCCCATTTGGCACTCTAACTCCGGCTCATATTATGATTAGCCGACGTCAACCCGATTGGGGCTATCAGTAAGACGGACTTGAAGAAGTTCATCGCGTACGCTCGCGACGCTTTCGAGCTCCCAGTACTTGATACGTGAGCCACAACGTTAATATGATATGCTCGTCCTCACGGATTTCCAGGTTCCTCAACGCTGTACCTACGGCTGAACTCGAACCCATCACGGAGACCTACGTGCAATCCGATGAGGTACCGTTCTCCACCCGCGTACTTGGTGTCATTGGGTGACTGACTAGCATCATTAGGCTGACATGGGCATGACTTACGAGGATCTATCTGTGTACGGCCGTCTGCGTAAGATCGATAAATGCGGGCCCTTCAGTATGTATACCAAGCTGCTAGTTCAATGGGGAACCAGACTTTCTCCTCTCCAAGTTCGTGTCTCCTTCCTTCGATCACATACGCCCTGTTGATGCCCGGGCCTAGATCGCGGAGAAGGTCAAGTTATTCTTCTTCCACTATGCTCGGAACAGGCACAAAATGACGACGCTCACGCCGTCGTACCACGCTGAATCGTATAGTCCGGATGATAACCGTTTCGACCTGCGGCCGTTCCTCTACCCAGTGCGATTCCCTTGGCAGTTCCGCAAGATCGACGAGCTGGCGAAGTCGCTGCCGGACAAATCCAAGAAATCCGACTAGAACTCAAACAGATATAGCCAAGTATAACGAAGAATACAAATGTTGTTGTACAGTGTATGCGTAGATTACAGATGCGTGGTCCAGAGCAATGCAACGTCGGAATCATCTGAGAGATCGTGGCGCTCAGACTCCTGACCGGAACGCGGAAACCGCTGATGCAGCGTTCACAATCTTGGAGAACGTGCTTTGCACGGTTACCTTCTTCATGATCGTCGGTTCCGGAGCTGACGATTTCCATCAGCAACAGCTCGAAGGAACCACGAGGAGATGTACGCACGATCCGTCAGATTCTCTTCCTTCACCTTCCTTCGTATGCTATCCATCACCTCGTTTGCCGCACTGCGATCGAAGTCCCCCCTCGCCCTCATCAGCCCCTCCACGAACGCCAGGTTCGGGCCGTGGACCTTGGCGAATTGCCAATAAGAGAGGAACACGAGGCTCTTCGACGCCTCAAGCATCGCGAGGATCATCTCCAGTACCTCAAAATTGACCTCAAGCTCCTTCGGCGGCTTGAGCGTCGCGAAGTAGCCAAACGCCGCGCTCACGTCGTCCTTGATCCGGTTTGTCGCTGCTGGCATACGAAGCTTGCTCGCATTGCCCAGCGCCGTGATGTATGTGACGAGGAAGTGCTCGAGCAGGTCCTCGACGAGGATCTCGAGCAACTGCGGGTTGAGGTACTCTTGGTAGTCGTTCGTGTAGTCGCGCATGGTCTCGACGATCTGCACAGCGATGCCGTCATACCACTCGGCCTGGAAGAGTTTCCGCACGGCGGACTTCAGATCAGTGAAGATGATGTCTATCAGCGTCTGCGTGCACTTTTTGGCCACGTCGAGGTAACCGTCAATCGCGTCATTAAGCTTTTCGCTGATCTGTGTGCTATATTTCTGCAATGTCGTTAGGGTCACTTCTGTAGGATGGGCATCGACAAAGAGTACCTGCGAGACCAGTGGTTCGAGTCGGCCGCTGAGCGCCTCTGCGTAATCCGCGGACTTGATTTGATCGTTTGCGAGGGCGATAAGGTATTCCACCAGCCCATCGGGGCTTTCCTCGGGCTTCTCGACATGGCGCTTAAGCTCGACGTCGATCACCTTGACCCATTGGCTCTGTATACTCCGCATGACCCTGTTGACGTCCCCAATCACGCGTGCGAGGATGAGTCCCTGGCCAGACTCTATCGCGAGGTCGCACTGCTGGTTAACCATCTGGAAGAGGATGACGGCGCCCTGAGTTCCGTACAACCCGTCGCCATCGACTTCGGGCGGTTCCGCGCGGGTGGTGAATGCCTCGACCTCGGTCTTCATCAGGTTCGCGGACCACTCGTCGAGTTTGGCGACGATGAGCTGGAGGTAATCGTCGATAAGCGACTGCTCCTTGCCGTCGAGCAATGGTGGCTCGAGGAGCTCCGGCGGTACGCTCAGTTCCTGCATGTTCTTCTTGTACTCCTTGATCCAGCCGTGAAGCTCGAGCAGCACGCTGGCCTCGGGCGCGGATTCGATCAGGCGCTTGAGCGTCGTATTGAGCGCGCGGTGGTACTCGCGCACGAAGAGGGAGTGTATATCGTACTCGGGCGGGAAGCACGGCACGACCTCCTCCTCGATCACAATCAGGTCACGATAGAGCCATTTACCGAGCCCGTCGAGGAACGCGCCCGGGTCGCGCTCGTCCTGCTCGTACGCGGCGGTGAACTTGCGCTTGATTTCGTCCGTGATCGCCTTTGTGATCTTGGAGCGGTAGTGCTTGATGAGGCGCGCGTTGGCCTGCATCGACTTGAACTTGGACGCGGCGTCCATCTTGGCGGCTTTCTTGACGAGGCGAATCGCGATCGCCTGCAGTAGAGGGCGCGAAGTGTCATTCGGGTTGGTCTATGTGATAATTGATGCTGTCCCACCTTCTCGTCTTCGCGTCCCTCAATCTCGGCAATCTTGACAAGCTTGACGATGACCTCGGGATGTCCCGCGCGTACGAGAGGTAATACGTTGGCGGCCAGTGCGAACATATATTCATCGAAAGCCTCGATCAAGCGGTTGAGGCGTTCGAACCACTTATTAAGCGTGTCGCGCGACTGTGCTGAGGCCTTCTTCGCCTGGTGCAGCGTCTGGTTGCGGAACGCCTCGAGTTGATTAAGTTGCAAGTGGATGGCGAGCAGGTTGGGTGAGCCGCCAAGAAGGTCGGCACGATCGGCGTCGAGGAGGCGCTCTAGCCGATCGAGCTGGGCAGACATGGCGAGTAGGTTGGAGACCATCTCTTCGGTCTGCTCAAAGTTACGATGGACCATAGACACCTAAGCAGAGCACGTATTGTGTCAGAGAGCAGCAAATGGCAGACGATCGAGACATGCGCACCCTGCTGATCTGGTCGAACGTCCGGACGACATTCTTGGGGTCGCTCGACATTCTATCGATAGTTTCCATCTCATCGCGCAGAGCCTGTACATTGTTTCGCGTCCCGAAAAGCTTTCGTAGCCCAGTGCGGGTCGCGTCGAGTTGGTCCTTGACGCCGGCCTGGAGACGAGCGTCGATGGACGCCTTCTCCTTCTCGAGTCGCTTGCGAAATGCGGCGATCTTGAGCAGGTCTTCCGGGGACTGCAGGTACTCGCCCACAGCCTGGGCGGCGGACATGGTCGGTGCTGAGAGCGTCGCGGCGGCTGCCATCGTGGTCACTGGTCACTGTGCAGCTCGTAGCCGGGCGCTGCACAGGAAGAGGCAGAACAATATAATCGCCTCAGCCACTGACGCGCAGTACGACAGCTGGTCCAAATATAGCTCGCAATTATTCTGCTCGTTATTCTCCTAATTATCCAATGCAACGAGCAGCTCGTCTTTCGACGAGGGGCCTCGCCTTACGACGGCGAACGGTCCTCTCGTGCCGATGCGCGTCCACGTCAACCAGCGCGCCTCACGAAGAATGCGACGTGGTCATCGTCGGAGGAGGACCGGCTGGTCTCGCGCTCGCGACTGCTCTAGGTATGTTGCGCCTTGGCATATCTTGCCATCAACCGTCTGTTAACCAAGCTCGGTGCTAGGGACGTCTGATGTCGTACGAGCGTCGCATAAGGTCGTCCTCGTCGAGGCTGGCAGCCTGTCCAAGATTCGTGAATGGACCATGGGCCCGTCCGAGTTCTCGAACAGGGTCAGCTCCATCACAAACGCAAGCAAATCGCTTTTGGAGCGCATAGGGGCATGGTCACTTGTAGACACGACGAGGACAATGCCCATCGAAGCGATGCAGGTGCGCACACGCTCTACTAACCCCCTCTGTTCGAGCTCATCTCGTCCGTCATAGGTGTGGGACGGGTTGTCGGACGCCCGGATCACTTTCGATGCCGCCGAGGCGGGCCTATCACCGCTTGGCGGGATGGCCACGCTCGTTGAGAACCTGAACATCCAGCGTGCGCTCCTCCACCGGCTTGCGCAGACGCCCGCGGTCGAGCTTGCCGACGGCGTGCGCGTGGAGCGCATCTCGCCCGACGATATCGAGGGCGGCGGCTGGCCGGTTGTGCACCTCTCCGACGGCCGGCGCCTCCGCGCCCGGTTGCTCGTGCGTGCGCGCCCCTTCCTCCTGACGGCGCCTCACTGACCCCCTGTCCAGGTCGGCGCAGACGGCTTCAACTCGCCCGTGCGCGCGTACGCGCGCATCACCTCCACCGGCTGGGCGTACCCGACCCACGCTGTCGTGGCGACGCTGCGTCACCCGCCGCTCTCGCCCTTCCGCCGCCCGCCGACGAACTCGACCGCGTACCAGCGATTCCTGCCCACCGGCCCCGTCGCGTTCCTCCCGCTCTCGGACACGGCCGCGAGCCTGGTGTGGAGCACGACGCCCGCGCTCGCGCAGGCGCTCAAAGCGCTCGACGGGGACGGGTTCGCCAGCATGGTGAACGCCGCGTTTCGCCTGCCGGAGCGCTCGATGCGCTACCTCCACGCGCGGCTGCTCGAGCCCGCGGCGCCGCTCGGCGCCGAGGAGCTCAAGGCGGAGATCGCGTGGCGGGAGGCCTCGCACGGCGTCGACCCGCACTCGGCCTACGCCTCCGCCTCATCGCTCGTCACCGACGAGGGCATCCCGCCCGCGGACGCCGGGGCGCTCCCGCCCCTGATCACGTCCGTCCAGCCTGGCACCGTCGCGTCCTTCCCGCTGCGCTATAACCACGCGGACGCCTACCTCGGCGAGGGCGCCGGCGCGCGCACGGTCCTCGTCGGCGATGCGGCACACACCGTGCACCCGCTCGCGGGGCAGGGGCTCAACCTCGGCCTGGGCGACGTCGACGCGCTCGCGCGGTGCATCATCGCAGCCGCCTCGCGCGGCGGGGATATCGGTGTGTGTGCTAGTCAACCCTGCTGTTATGGGGTCGCTGACGGCTCGATGCAGGGGCCTATACGGCGTTGATGCCCTACGCGCGGGAACGGTACTTTGAGAATCACAAAGTCATGTCCGCCGTCGACAAGCTTCACAAGCTGTACTCGACCACTGCCGCGCCCGTCGTGTGGGCGCGCTCGACGGGGCTCGAGGTGCTGAACGAGCTCGACACGCTCAAGGGCGTCGTCATGCGTTCTGCCGGCGCGGACGTCACCGGTACGCGCATCCGTTCTCTTTCTGGTACTGTGCATATCAAACTCATGACGCGCATATGTTGGACAGACTCGGGCCAAGGGGCTGCGTGGAAGTGGGCGATGGGTACGGCGGCGGACGCGGTGAGCGGAGCGACGAACGCGGTGAGGACGGCGGAGATACTCGGCGGGGCTCTGGGCAACGTCGCGGCGGGCGCGCTGAGGAACGCGGTGCTGGCCGCGACGGAGAAGCGGCAATAAATGCGCGTGCAGCTGGCGCCGATAGTCATGCACTTCACAGTTTGCAAGTTGTACATTACACGATATGGACAACCATTCATGCCACCTGACGCGCCGCAGGTTAACACAACGAAAGCTGCTTCTTGGCCAACGAAATTAGGGTCGCCATGCCGGCGGAGTCCATGCAAGGCAGACGGAAGGTTGCTTGTCCGGTCCAAGACCGAAGACCAGAACCGGGGTCGCGCCACACGGAACGATCGCTCGCCCGGTCTGTTACTCGCGCGATGTGGGTCGATCTTGATCACCTTGTGATACTGCGTCGTCCTATAGTGAACCCTACAGTCGTGAGATGGCAAGGGGGACCGTTCCCGTGGCGTACTACACCAACGGATGGGTGTGGACTCCAGTGTTATTACACCGTCCAAGCTGGAAGCCAGCTCGTGAGACCCAGAGCATAGCTTCGGGTTTGTAGGACGAAACTATGGGTCTTCGCACCTCGGAATGGTCCGAGAGAGCAGTATGCACTTTCCAGAAAGCGAGGAACGCAGAAGCTTCGCTGGGCGCTTTCCTGGCGTCCACGAAGGTTCGTACCGATATACGAGGATCAGAAGTGGGTGGACGCGAGGGGTCGAATTCTCTCTTCATTCGTATCGCAGACCTCTTGCGACGTTTAGCCGAAAAACCGAGTGCGCGGCGTATACATACATCTATAGCTGTCTCGGACAGACACAGACAGCACCACTGGCAGTTGCTGAGAGCGCTGCGCGCTCTATTTAACCGATTACTTGACGAGGTCCGAGTTGACCGCCCGTTGCCGTCGGTCCGCCCCCCGGTGCTTGAGGCTCAAGGTGCGGTCATCGCCGCAGGACGCAGGAGATGGTGGGAGAGGACGGGTGCCGGGGGTGAGAGCGAGCTGCCTTGATCGCGGGTGCGGGAACACCAAGGGGACTGCCGGGGGCTGAGATCCATATGATGATTGAGAGTTGATGCGATGGTGTGAATCGTGAATAATCGTCGCCCAGGCACCTACGCTGCGTCCATGTTGAACGATATGTATGGATCAGCAACGGATGCAGGACGGATGAATAGGAATAGATGAGCGCAGATTGAGGAGCTCGACGTGGTCTGGATGCCTCGATTGAGGAATCGAGGGTATGAACCCAAGCGTGAATTCACGTCAACGACTCAATGGAAGGATCGCCAAAGCGAGCTCAGGGCTCGTAAGAGCGGATCCGCAACTGTCATGCACGAAGGAGATCGTCATGTCGGATGGACGGGCCTGTGTCGGATCACTTTATCGACACGTGTGCGACGTCGACGTTGATGATATGTACACCTGCACCTGCTCCTCTCGCGGTTGCTGGTCCTGTTGGTCTTGTCGCTGCCCCCTTTGCTGGGTGCGTGCGAGCGGTGGCGCCAGCGGCATCAGTCGCGCGCTCGCACGGGAGCTTCGCGGACACGAGGGGAAGATGTGAAAAGAGGTTGTGCCCTTGGATCTGGAAAAAGCGGGTAACAGAAAATTCGTGATATAATTCGGATCGGTGGACTGTATACAATTCGTCTTACCCTCGTTTTCTCGGCTGGCGAAGTGAGGGTCCATTGGTGCCTGGAAGACTTCGATGAGGTTTGTTGGATTCAGAGCGTTGGACAGCTGGATCAGGGGGACAGACAGAACGTAGCATGATCAGCTCGGTTCCATATGTTTGTCTACTAATAGGTTATGACGCTGCTACGCTGTGTTGTATGGTGCATCAGGAGACCAGTGAATGATGTCGAGATGGCCGCATGCGCTGCTGTCCTTCGCGGGATGATGCTTGGCCTGGCTTCCGGAGATGCAACAGTTGGCGAATTACCAGCCCTGCTCGCGCGAGAGAATACCGCGATGAGAATTCCGCCGTTTCGCAGTTGATTAGGGGTCTGAATGCAGTTCTTTTGTTGGCGCCTTCGTGAGTGTTGCTCGATCGGGACGAGACGAGGGAATATACACGGTATACACGCACGAGTATTAGGGGGCGGATGTCGAGCACAATTTATCTGCGGCGTCGTCGCCATGGCTGGAGGCCGAGATATCGGAGTGGAGATTAAAGTTGTGAACCGAGACCTGTTAGCCGAGCGACGAAGGTGTGAACGCGGTGCTTCGCGAGCCGCAGGGCTAGAATATCGCCCACCCGACCTCCGCGCGCGCTCGCCGTCCCCCTCGTCGCCGCCCCCCAAAGCCCCCCTCGTCCTCGCCGCGCCCGACGACGATGGCGCCCTCGTCCGCGTCGAGCTGGGCAAAGTCGCACAGCCCGTTCTCGTTCCGCACGCACAGGCAGCCGTCTGACGTCCATCATCAGGAAGCGCTCCCGGCTTTGGCCCCTGGTGATCTCACCTCCACCTCCACCACCTCCTCCTCCCGCCCCGTCCTCCCCCCCTCCGCCTACACCGCGCCCCGCTCCGCCCCGCGTCCCCCACCGCCCCCACCGCAGAACCAGCCCGCGTTTCTTCGCCGTCCGCCGCCCCGCGCCCCGTCGACGGCTTCCCTGCGCTCCGCCTACACAGCCTCATCGTCCGTCGTCGCCGACTCGGCGTCGTTCACCGGCGACAAGCTCCATCCGTACTCCGTCATGCCTGCACCGCTGCCGGTCGTGTCCGGCCACAGGGACGAGGACGAGGAGGCGGAATGCCCGGTCTGCCTCGAACCGCTCAGCTTCAGCTTCAGGCTCCCTGGCGAGAAACCACATATAGTACCCGAATGTGGGCACGCGCTTCACGAGGTCGGTCGATGCGGATCTGAGTTTTACTTCCCCGCAATATATGCTCATATATATGCGCATACAAGGCGTGCTTTACAGCAGTCTATGGACCCCCGCCCGGCCAACGCGCCATCCGAAAAGCCAACCTCGGCGTATGTGGCGTATGCCGAAGGACCATGAAAGTCGGTGATGGAGACGGTGGAAAATCCAACAGTGCGTACCCATCCGCACGAGGAAAGGAAAACGCTGATCCTGACGGTTCTTGCCCAGAACTCGCGGCGCTCACCGGCATGGGCGATCGCAACACCTCGCTCTACCCAGGCCGCGAGACGCCCGGCTCCATGCGCGGCGGCGCGCGGCGGAACGGCCAGCCCGCGCCCGCGCCCTACGACCCCACGCAAGACGATCCGCTCGACCACCACGCGGGCTCTGTCAAGACCGCGAGCTCCGCCGAGCACGCGCACTACGTCGTCGCGCCCTCGATCCAGGTCCGGCCCGAATTCGCGTCCATCACGCGCGCCACCGACCAGGCCACGCAGCCGCTCACCTGCATCGTCGTCGTCGAGCTCCCCGGCCGCCGCCGCCCGGGCGCGGTGCCGGGTCCCGCGCCGCAGGACGGCGTCGGCATGAACGTCGGCTACCCCGCTGCCCCGCCCTCGCGCAACGGCCACCTGAGGCACGAGACCGCGTACTCGGCGCAGTCCTCCCCGCACCCGGACGGGATGCGCTCGCCCTCGGAGCAGTCGCACAATTACCAGCAGCAGAGCCCGATGAGCCCCCAGCAGCAGTCGCAGGCGCTCGTGCAGTCCCCGCACCAGTCGCAATACAGCGACGCGGGCGAGACCGCGCTCTACTCCCCCGGAGGCGGCACGGCGAGCAGCATCATCTACTCGGACGAGGACTCCCCCTTCGCGGCGATCACCGACGACCTCCGCGCGCGGATCGTCGACTGGAAGGGCCACTCGCCGGAGGGGCTCGGCCCGCTGCAGATGTACGACCTGCTCTCCGTACGGCGCGACGCGCTCGTGCGCGAGTTCTACGTCTACCTCTTCAAGGAGGCCATCATCTGCGTCTCGGAGGAGAAGAAGCGCTCGCTCGGGCGCTTCCTCACTGGCGTCGCCGAGGGCGGTGCGCCCGCGCCCGCGAGCGCCACCCGCGGCGTGCTCCGGCTCAAGGGCCGCATCTTCATCCGCCACATCCGGCGCGTCACGGACACAAGCGTAGCGGGCGAGCTGAGCTTGACGATCGACATGGAGGACGAGCGGCTGGACTCGTTCATCCTCGTCTTCCGCGACCGCTCCTCGCTCGAGACGTGGAAAGCACACATCCAGGAGCTCGTCGCGCTCTTCCACCGCGAGCAGCAGCAACAGCTCCCGCCGGCGCCGCAGCCGCAGCCGCCGTATCCGGGCCAGCAGCCGGACCTGGAGGAGTTCGGCGGGAGCGCCAAGGCGGCGCGCATGCTCTCCGGGAGCACGGCGACGACGGTGAGCACGGTCGACAGCCTGCTCAAGGGCGGCTCGCAGCGCTCGACCATGTCTTCGTCTACGTCCCACGGCTCTGGCTCATCATCCCACGCCCCGCACGCGGCTTCTTCACAGGCGCAAGGGCCGTACGGCGCTACCAAGCTCGCCGCGCTCGCGGAGGACGAGGAACTCGGCGCGGGCGCGTACGACGACGGACACGCCGCGCTCGTCACGCCCCACCTCAGCGCCGGCCCGAGCAACTCGCTCACCCCGCTACAGCACCCGCATCTGGACCTCATCCTCGTCGTCTCCCTCCCTCCGCCGAGCGCCGTCCCGAGCACGGCCGCGCTCAAGGTGCGCGTCATCAAGGCCACGCTCGACTTTATCATCGCCAGCCTGGGCGCGAAGGACCGTCTGAGTTTGGTCACGTTCGAGGTCGGCGTCGGCGGCAGGGTGCGCAAGACGCCGTTCTTGTGCGTGGGCAGGACGCAGAGCCGGGCGAGGCTGAGCAAGTTTGTGGACGAGATCGGGATGCGATGGGAAGAGGGTCAGGGCGAGGACGAGTTTTTGGTGCGAGGGTCGAAGGATGAGAAGACGGATGTGGTGACCGCGGTCAATCACGGTACGCGTACCTGAGACGCACTCGGGTGCATACTTTGCTGACGGTCGTTTCAAATCTTGCTCAGGCCTTGACGTCGTGCTGCAGCGCAAGGCGCGCAACCCAGTGTCGGGCATGATCCTGATCAGCGACGCGGCAGAAACGACCCGCCGGGCGCAGATGGACCTCGTCCTCGCTCGAGCGGAGGCGGCGAACGTGCCCATCCACTCGCTCGGTTACGGTCGCTCGCACGACCCGGCCTCGCTCTGGCTGATGTCGAACCACACGAGCGGGACGTACACGTTCGTGCGGGATTGGTACGACCTCAGGGATTGTGTCGCGGGCTGCGTCGGCGGGATGATGTCGATGGGCATCACCAACATGAAACTCCACTTCAAGATCGTGGACGGGAACCGGTTCCAGATTCGCAAGGTTTCCGGCGGGCCGCAGGCGATCGTGAGCTCGGACGGGAAGCACGTCGACATCGACGTGGGCGAGCTCCGCTACGGCGAGCGAAAGGAGATCCTCGTCGAACTCGAGCTCGACAACTCGGAGCTCATCCGCCCTCAGTACGGCGGCGGCGGCGGCGGCCATGGCGGCGCGCGGCACCTGAACGCGACGGACGAGTTCGTGGCGCGGATGGGGCTCGACGCGCTCGCGATCGGCGCGGATGCGGCCGACCTTGCGGACGCGACGATGGACCGGATGATCGACGAGGTGCCGGTGTTCGAGGTCGACGGCGCGTTCTTCGATCCGAACGCGGCCCGGCACGTCTCCCGCCTCACGCACCCCGTTCTGCTCACGATCACGCTCTTGCCCGCGACGCCTGGCGGACGCCCGCGCACGCCGAGCGGCGCGTCCGACCCGGTGATCGTCCGTCGGCGGATGGAGCTGCTGACGTCGGACATGATCACGCGCGCGCTCGTGCTCGTGTCGCGGAAGAACTACCCTCAAGCGCAGACGATCCTCGGCGAGACGAAGCGCGTGCTGCACACCGTGCTCCAGAGCGTGACGCAGACGCTGCCCGCGCCGAGCGCGGGCTCGATCCGGAACCGCCGCGAGATCCTGACGCTGTCGTGCGTGAGGTGCATACAGGCGATGCTGCAGGACCTTCAGATCCTCGCGGAGGCGCTCGAGGACAACGTCGACCTGTTCGGGCACGACCAGCGCAACTTTGGCGCGCAGCAGGTGAGGTGTTGTGTACTCTTTCTCGTCTCCTTTGAAGCTCATTCGCTTGTTCGTAGGCTATGATCCTTCGCGACCAGAAGGCGTGGAGTGGCCGCAGCGCGACCGAGCGGCTGTTCTGGACGATCGACAACTCCATCGAGCTCGTCGCGCGGAGCAACGACTGGGTCGCCCGCGATTAAGCCCGCGCGTCGACACGACATGCGCCTATTCCGGATCTTGTTCATACACTTCTTGTTCGCCCGTCCAATGGTCGTCGGCATTTGGGTGATTTTTTGTTTATCTTGTGGCGAATGTTTATTCCCTTTCCGTTTCTCACAACCAAGCAAACAACGAACTTTCTTCTTCTTCCCCCTTCCTCTCTTTCCTCCGTCGCGACTATCTACTATCTTGGTGCTCCCGCTATCCCTCTCCCTTCATCTCTATCCTTTATCCTCTTTCCTATCCTCCTATTTTCGGATCTAAGCGTTCTGGAACCGGAACGGGGAAAGTCCCCCACAAGCATTCATAGGTGCCGTGGCGGCGTGTGACCTCTATTGTACAATATGCAGACTAGATGGCGGTGGCGAATGCTATGGTATCTATCGTCGCTCTCGGACGGGCAAGGTTGCAACCCGCTATGGCCGACGCGCACTTGCGCTGACGTGGGACGCTGGCCCTGTTTCGCTTGGAAACCGATGAGAGCGGCGGCTGAGAGTACGAGGAGGGTCTGAAGCGAGGCCTTTTTTTCACTCGTAGCCTAATCGTTGTTTCTCCTCCCGTTGCCGCTCCAGCCGGCTGGTCTTGTCCTCGACCTCGGCCAGCGTGTCGTCCCAGTCGACGAATAGTTCCGAGAGGGCGTCAACCTGTGCATATCGGGGGCTAAGAACGCGGACACGATCGTCGTGGGTAGTACACGAACGTGTATTGTATGCCGGTCGATGAGGTTCGCTATTCGTTCCTCGAGGGAAGCCGCCAACTTCCGGTCGTCCTCTTGCGCCCTCAGGAGCGCCTGCAGCCGTGGCTGAAGCGTTTCGTAGACTACGGATCGGCGCGTACGTGAGCTAGCTAGCAAGGGACGGAAGGTCCGCGATGCAAACCGATACCTGCGAGGTTGCCGGCGCCCGTGACGCCCTTCTTCTCGAGCAACTCGATCTCGGCCATGTCGCGGTCGGCGGCGCGTATGTCAGGCTCCATCTCGGCGAGAAAAGCTTCCAACTCGCTCGGAGACATGTGCTCGTACGCGGGCGCGGACGCCGCCGCGCCGGGGACGGTGCCCGAGAGCGCGAAGGACGGCGTGAGGTATTGCGCGTGCTGCTCGTCTTTCCTTCCCCGAAACGGGTATCAGCGCCGCCTGCTTCCTGTCTGCGAGAAAAACGGCCGAAAGGAAGGCGCACGTACAGCCGGTGACGAACCGCTTGAGTCCGTCGTTGTTCTCGACGAGCGCGTCGAGCCGCCGCTGGAGCTCCTCGGCCTTGCGCAGGAGCGTCTCGCCGCGCCGGAGCTCGGGCGCCTTGCCCTTCCGGTCGTGCACGCCGAAGAGCAGCGCCTCGAGCCAGCGCAGACGAAGTTCGAGCGAGAGCGCGGGGTCGATCGTCGGCGGGAAGGAGACGGGCGCGAAGGTGGGCTTGGGGTCGGTAACGACGGCCATGGAGGAGGTCGCGGCGATCGGGGAGATGGTCGGCGGCGGCGAGGAGGGCGGCGTGCCGGTCGAGAGGACGCGCTGGCGCGGGTCGCCGAGGAAGACGCTGCCGTATTTCGTGGTCATTGCCGTCGGCGTCGAGCTAAGCGCTTCGGCGTCGTCGGCTGCGGCGAGCGCGACTGAAGGGGGCGTGGGAATGTGATAACCAATCTGGGTCGCGACGCGTTGGCAGGGCGGGTCCACACCATCTCCTGCCACCGTGACCCGGCCTCGGCTACGTTCCCTTCGTCATCGCGCGCGACGACGCGGGCCCTCGCTACAGACTAAGCCATGGCCAACTACGACGAGGACGACATGTTCGGCGGCCCGAGCGACGGCGGCGGCAGCAAGTTCCTTTCTCCTGCCAAGATGGCGACGCGCAGGTCGCCCTCGCGCCAGAGCCTGCGCCCGAATGGCACGCGCTCGAGTGTGTCCCTACGCGGCGCATCCTCGAGCCTCGCCGACGCGATGGGTGGCGGCGTAGACGGAGCAGCAAGCGGCGGCAGCGGCCAGTTTTCGCTCGCGCACGAGCTCGCGGCGGCGCTCATGCCCGAGCCCAGCGCCGGCTCGAAGCTGCTTGCGGAGGAGTTCGGGATCGACTACGACGAGGGCGCGGAGGGCATCGACGAGGAGCCGCCGATCGATGCAGCGCACGCACGCGACGCCGGCGCGGCCACGCCGCCGTCCGTGTCGGTGTCTATGGACGACGTGTTCGGGGGCGGAGGGCCGTCGCGTGTCGATCAAGAGAACGAACACGAACTACCGCCAACATCTCCCTCCTTCGCATCTGAACTAGGACTCGACGCGTCCCCCGACGCCTCGTTCGGTTCGCCAAGTCCAACACAGACCCCCTCCCGGCCACGGAACCGAAGACATCATCATCAACAACCACAACAGGACCCGATGTCGGTCCTCACCGCCGACCTAGCTTCTACCTCCGCCTTTCTCTCCGCGCTGCGCATCCTCGATGCCGGTTCCGACGCCCCCGCAGGCGCGCATCATACCCCTGCTTTAGAACGCGCTGCGGCGGGCATGATCCGGCACATGGACGAGGCTGCCCGCGACCGCGAAGGCCAAGTCCGCTCATTGTTCGAGTACGAGCGCGAGCTGCGCAAGATCGGCGGCGAGATCGGCGGAGAGGAGGTGCTCGCGCAGCTAGACGAGCTCGAGATACTGGAGGGGCTCGACCTACCATCATCTTCGTCGGCGGCGACGGCGGAAGCGGCCCGGCCTCGCTCGCCCGTGGTGGAGAAGCTCCTGGCATTGCAGGAGGAAGCCTCGCAAGAGTGGGAGACCGAACCGGACGAACACTCGTTGGACGACGCGCTGGACGCCGACTCGGACGCCGAGCCGTCCTCGCCCACATCACCCCTCACCACCCTCAAAGAAGACCCGGTGCCTCCGGCGCCCCCGGTGACGGGCCCACCGACCGCCCGCACCGCGCTCCCCCACCTCGTGCACACGCGCACGCTCACGGCCTCGCTCGTGACGTCCCTCGCGACCGTGTCGGAACAGGCGCAGGTGAACGGCGCGCTGACGACGGACGCGGGCCGCAAGCTGCGCGCGCTCAAGAACCGGCTCGGCGAGTGGCGCGCGGAGGCGGAGGGCGCGGAGCGCAGCCGCGCGCGCATCGAGCGCTGGGAGGCGGGCTTGCCGGCGGACGGGGCGGGAGGCGAGGCGCCGGCGCCGGCGCCGATGTCGCCCGGGAACCTGAACGGCCGGATCGTGGTGCGGAGGGTGGACGGGCGGAAACTGGTGGAGGAACATCTGAAGGCGTTTGAGGTCGCGCTGCAGGAGGCGGGCGTGAAGACGCAGGCGATACGGGCGGCGGTGGCGGCATGAGCTTTTCGTCACTTGGCCGAGAGGGTGACCCGAGATCTGCGGAGGATACAGGAGGAGGAGAGGACATCTTCGCTGGCTGTGTGTGTATAACTGGTTTTTTTGAGTCTGAGCGCACGCTATCTGGAAACGCAAAAATGTGTTTTCTTTTTTTTGCATATATGTTTAGGGTACATAATCATTGCTACACATCTAATGTACACGATAGAGGCTTCGGTTCTGGTCTGTGTGGAGGTCAGGAGGGCTTAGCGTCGTTTCAGGTTGACCCAAGACGTGCCGCCGCCGATTACCGCAGCGTCGCTGCCACCGGTTTGCAACTTTGCATTCAACATCATTCGTCGCGTCTCCGACAGACCTATTGCGTGCATAGCACCGCAGATGATCTAGCATCAAATGGCGGGCTGAGCTCTACACAGCGTGTAATATACGTGCAGAGAGGCTCTTACACATGTTAAACATGTACATACAGCTTCCGAGTCCTCGAGTTCGCCGTCTGCCCATTTCGCGTTGGCCGTCGCTGGATCTGGTCAAGGGCCCAACACACATAACTGCTCGCCTCTGCAACTATCTGCTTCATGGGCGGTATGAAATCCCCGACTCATCGCGGCGTTCACAGTGAAAGGGGGGGGGGGTGAACTGCTGGATGTTCCGCTTCCGAAGCCGGTTTTACCATACTCTTACTTTACCATCCCTTTTCACTTTTACGAATAATTGCGCATTTGCCTATCTGAAACATACATGTCATCGCCGGCGCAAACGTGCTTAGTACCACCAGAACAGCTACGTAGACCGTTCGCATCGGGGTTTGGGACGCGACTCTTTCCAATCATGGGCCGACCACAAGCAATTCACGACCATGAAGCTGGTTCGTCGCGCGGATGGCGCAGGTTGTGTGCATGCTCATAGTGCAGTTCACAAATCGGGATTGAGATCCAAGTCGAGGTCGAAAACCTGCTGCGGGGGCCGCTGCTCTGGTCGATACGGATTCGCTCCGTGGCCCATCGCGGGGAGCTGATCCGCCTGCTTTGGCGGAGACGCAGTCGGTGCTGAACACATAAACCAACGATCAGTAACGGTAACGGCTAAAAGAAAACAAAAAGGAGGAGGGAGAGGGCATAGATAGCACAAGGAAGGGGGGGGGGTGAGGGAATACTCACGTCGTCCAACAGAGTGTGTCTCGCCAAGGATCCCTAACGGCGCCTCAGCGTTCATCCGCCCGCGGCGCATCTTCTCCTCATTAGGAAAGGGCGGGAAGAAGAGCGGCGGGGGCGGCTGGCCCGGCGCGAGCGCGGGCATGTTGGGCGGCGCGGAGGTGAACGCGCTGATCGCCTGCGCGTACGAGAGCAGCTCCGGGTACGGGACCGCCGCTGCGCGCGACCGACGATCGTCAGCATATCGTCGCAAAGCAGAGGTAGGGAGGACGGGGGGGGGGGGGG